CCCCCCTTTAGTTTTGTAAGAATTTTACGACGTCACACCCACATGACATTATGCAATATGACATGATACCCCCTCTCTCGTTGGCCGCTTTATCATATCACACAATTGGTTTTGAACACGATCTGCCTCGGTCAAAGACGTGTACTGTTCAAATCTAAACACCGGGTGCTGGGTGAGCCGTAAAGAAGTACATGTAGTTCTCAGTGAAGATTGAACTTCCTGGAATACATACTTCTGTCCCCGTGGTTTTATACACCCCGCATAATTTAGCAAAATTTGATCATTTTTTTCATAATTTCTTATTGTTTTCCTTCATTATTATTTGTTAAAATTAACAGAATCGCATAATTTCACATTTTTGGGCTCAGTTTGTATAATTTCATAATTTTTCTTGTATTGTATAAAACGACGAGGACAGATTTTTCGTCCGAACGTAGATCTAAGTGCACAAGAAGGAAGCTTGGTCAAGTTCTCCACCACAGAGATACGTTCTTCGCCATGTCGTTGGCCTGGAGCCAAGCCAAAAACAAACAATAAATGGTCGCTTTGTGGGACAAGCGGGCTAACCCAGATTTCGGGGCTTTCCAGAAATCTCGACCTTCACCAAAAGTGGGAAGCGCCCTACCTGTAGTAGAAGTTGGTTTCATTGGTGTGTATGTTTGTTTAGCTATAGAGAAAACTCTCCTTGTCTTTTAAAGAAACTGAACAAGGGGGAAAAACTTTACCTTCGATTTTCTAAAAACATCATAATTTTTCGGGATAGCCCCCTTGTGCTAAAAAGCACCGGTGAGACACTATCTCGGGACGAAAGCAAGTCTGACTCAAGGCTCAAGGGGGACTAAACCTTTGTCTTTCACACTCACAGGAAGGTAATAGTGTTACCTCCCTTGTTTGATGCACTAAACGATTTACGCCCACCTTCTAAAAAACCAGGCTCAATGCAATGTAAGGCAAGGAAATGAAGAAATTAAAAAAATTGAACAATCCTCTTCAGTATCAAAGATTTTACAAAAGTGTTCCGTTAGTCTATGCACATCAAAACTGAGTCAATATTGGCAGGACCAAGAGGAAAATTAGGTCGCCCCCATTCCAATTCTCCGGAACATTCAGTCACAAAAGCCCCAGATCAACAATAGCAAGAAGGGAAGGCGAAAAAAAAATTGCTGTAATAAGTGTTTTTCTTTCACAAGATTTCAAGTAAGGCTAACTTTTAAATGAAGTGCTAAGACTAAGATAGAAACCGTTATTCCATGGCAGAACCTCCGAACCTGAACCATCACAGAATCTTTCAGATTTTGACAAGATCTATGCTAAGCTATTGAGGGACATTTTTCAACCTACATCATACTACACGCAGACAGAATGGAGAGCTTTCAATTGCAGCTTACTACAGTGGAACTCGGGTTCAACGAGGTCACTGAGCCAAACCTAAAATCTTGTTGAATCCGAGTGTTTGTTATAGCAAACAGGAAGTTTTGCGTAGATAATTACAGGCATTGAGCAAGTAATGTAAAAAGAGAAGTAACAAGAGGTATTTGAAATGCCTCCATATTATGAACTGTGCAAAAAAAGACAGATTCGTTCAAATGCACACGCCTGTGTCATCTCGATTTGTTTGACAAAAAGTTTGAAAAAGTTGTGTTGCTGTGTTGAGCCTAGCATACGGCAACTTTTGATTCCATAGACAGCGCACAATTCATTACGTAGATCTACGTCAAGACTAGTTTATCATTGTAATAATGAATCAATGGTCCGTTGCCGGGGGGAAAAGACTACGACGCGTTTGTATCAGCGACGTCCACGCCTGGACCGCCGGTGACCCCCCCCAACACGCAGTCACATGTGTGCAAGCCGCCCATCCGACACACGCTAGAGTAGACACCTGCGCGTGCCAACAACGCATGTGTTGGTATGAAAGAAGGCCGCTGACTGGTCGCATGCAATCGGCTACGTGAATAATGGTTCACGATGCAGGAGCAATGGATGGTTTCCAGGAATAGATAGTTCGTTGTGGGAGAAAAATAAGCGAAGCCATGTCTGCAGGGTCTGTTAACCCTGGAAGCCACCTTGTTGAATCCGAGCTTGCTGATTTAAGCATTCATTGAATCCGGTTTATTTTTATTGATATTAAAGAAAAACCCCCCCAGGGAATCCATCTACTCTTGTTGAATCTGAGCTCTCATTGAATCCGAGTTCTACTGTATCTTGTTCTATCATAGACAGACTTATGTCTGGATGAAATAAAAAAGTAAAAAACACATTTCTGTACGTAAAAAGAGTTCAACAGTACTTCTGAATCAGTTATGATTTTTAAAATAAAAAGTACGCTCCTGAAAACAAAGACAAAACCAAACAAAAATCAATATAGAATATAATTTTATTCATGAACTAACATAATGTATTTACAGTGATTGATACAAAACACTTGTGTGGATAAATATCAGGTATCTGAACGAGTCATTTTACGCTCCATTCATCAACAAAGTACAGTATCATAAGCTCATAGGTGACGCTTGGCACGAGTCCAAAAGCAGAGCCAATAAGATAGCTATTTCTTAAAAAAAGGTCGGAATGTGAACCTGAAACTTCCATACAATGAGGTAAGCTGCGCATTAAAAAAACCCCAAAAGCCACTTCATAGATACAATGACTCAGAGATGTTGGTGAAGGGTGGAGGGAAAAAAATCAGCCAATGGTCAAAACAAACAGAAGAAGCAGATGAAGTAGGACGGACAACAGAACGATGTTTGACCACAAGTCAGGGGATGCAAACGTCTACTTTCCAAGGCCGACATTGTCACTGTCTCTAATTTCACTTCTTAACGTTGCTAAAATTTTGCGGAAGCAAAACGAACAATTTGTGTTTTTAAAACACATACAAAACTAAGCCCACTGACCCTACTTTCCAAATGTAGTAACAGTCAAACTTTTCCATAATAATAAAAGTCACTCAAAATCACAGAGAGAAGAGACTTAACAGACAGGTGTCTTTGTTTTAGTAGAGGTTTTACGGCGCTTGCAACTGCATAAGGTCATATGAGCGCCAAGGGGTGGATGTCAACAGAGAAGTCCTTACAGGAAATAAGACTTACTCTGCTCACCTCTCTAGCTTCAACAGCACAAAGTCTGCTTTGACTATCATCAAGGCACCCCCAGAATAGTGGGGTCACAAGAGCGTGGCAAACATACAAAAGAAGTAGAGAAATATGACGATAGTAAGGATTAGGAAAGAAAAAGCAGCAGTTCCGTGTTGTAGTTAAGGCACAGATATGAGCATGACATTGTTGGATCAGTCCATTTACAACTCCACTGTGCATTAGAACCTTTGGGATTGGCCTAAAGACACTTCAGTCAGTGGCACCGCCCTGGAGGATCAACTGCTTTTGATGAACTCAAACCTACAAAAAATTAAAAGTGACCATCTCCTTTCTAGAGATGGGAGATATTTTGAGATCAATAGCAGCACATAAAGAGTCTCTGCTTGGTAGACAACATAAAATAAAACACTGAGTGTTAAAATACAGTCGAACCTGATCTACCTGCCACCTGTACAAATGACCACTTCCTCATTCACGAGCTTGCATTTTTTGTAATGTTATAATGACACAGTGCAAGATGTCCCTATGCTTAACACAGCCACATTTCTCCTCGACAATGGGTGGCCATCTTGGACAATTTCGACTGTAATTAGTTGCAAGCAAACTGGACATAATACATGCAAAAGAAAATTTTGCATTCAGTCAAAGGGTATCCGGTCGTCTATGATATGTGAAGCATCATGGTGAAATCAGGCACTCGTCAAAAGAATGAAATCAAAGAAATTGGCATTTTTCTGATTGTTGGGCAATTTCTTTCTCATTTTCTTTTTTTGGTTCAACACCGTTTATATCCATTTAAAAACATACTTCTCTGTGGATTTTACTGAAAAACATTGATTAACGGCACAATGAATGTCAATTTTCAGTTTCCAAGGACTCTCAAGTTTTGGAAATTACAAAACTTTGGAGGCCACTTTCTCGCTAAATTCACCTCTGAAACCAGGTAACCCTGACCTCCTTGAATCGTAAATATATTTCGACTTCTATTCAACATAGAAGGATATTTTTTTCACTAAAAGCAAGGCTAATGAACAGGCTTTAAGATGATACAAATAACCCCACATGCCCAAAAATTGAGGAGTGCCTGATTCCATCACGTCTTGACACATATTATAAAACAGAATACGGATTATTATTACAGAAGTGACACCTACAATGTCTACAAAGACAAACTATCATAATGACTGAAACCATCACACATCAGTCCAGAAAACAACAGAAGCCCACTTTCCATACATTTCAATTGTTACAAGACAATGGATTTAAAACACCTAATGGAACACTCCAATACTCAAGGGTGGAAACCTGTCAAATAAGCAACCCGAAAAGAATGAAGAGTCAGCACAGCCTCCTGGGCTGATAAAACCAGTGCCATGACCACAATAAGAACTGCATTATTCTTTTCCACAAAAATGCTAACCTATTAATGAAGTACCCAGAGACGACCACTGAGATTAAACCAAAGATATAAAAAAACAGTTGATTGTGTCATAACGCAATCCTTAGTAAAATAAAAGATTAACAAACGTGCACTTGAAGACTTAAGAAACATGGGCCTACATTTGGAGAAATTTACGCTCGATAATAACCAACACAGGCAAAGCTAGCTTGCAAGGCCTTTCTTCATCTTCAGCTTTCTCTGTAACTCCGCAATCTGTCTTTGAAGCTCCATCTCATCCTCATCCTCTTCCTCCTCCATCTGACCCTGCACAACAGACACGGTGTCACTTGCCCCTGCCCGGGGTGGGCTGGCTGGCGGGTTTCTTGACCGATCCTGTAAAATAACACAAGACAATATTGTAAGCAATGGATATGTTTAGGTATGCACTATATACCTGGCCCCCCAGGAAATCGTGGTCTTGTGGCCGCATTTTTTGCAGTTCTGCAAAAAACTCGCAATTTTTTTTTCAATTTTGGCCGCATTTTTCGTAGAGTTCAGCCAAAAATACGCAAAAATACACCATTGCCTTAATTTTAACCGAATTTTTAATACAAAATGGGGCGCACGGAACCAACACGTAAATCGTGGTATCGGCCCACCTCTTGCCCAAAGATAGTACATAACAAGATGGTTCACTCCTCTTTCTGAGTCAACTAAAAAAGTGTCCTCAAAATCGGGTGGCGCCCTCTTCGAAAAAGCGCCAGCTTCGTGAACAGAGTTACCATACTTGCATGAAAAACAATAAAAGTGAAACTAACAAATTGTGCTATTCCTATTCTTCTTCTGGAGAAACGAAAGAAAGCTTCAAAACAAAGACTGCAGCGCCATCTGAACCAATGCGCGGACTTGAGCGGGCACTTTTTTGGCTGAGTGAACTATCTTGTTATGTATGATCTTTGTCTAGCCCACTGGGCTGTACTCTAATAGCTATAACCAGAAGTTCAGGCCGGAATACAACACGATAAGCAAGTAGGTGAGTGTGTGCATGTGTGTGTGCGTGCGTGTGTGAGTGTGCAAGTGTGTGCAGGTAAGTATGTGTGTGTGGTGTGCATGTATGTGTGTGTGTGTGTGTGGTGTGTGTGTATGTGTGTGTGGTGTGTGTGTGTGTGTGTGGTGTGCATGTGTGTGTGTGTGCATGTAAGATGTGCGGATGTGTATGTGTATGTGTGTGCATGTGATGTGCGTGTAAGGTGTGCATGAGAGTGAGTGTGTGTGTGTGTGTGTGTGCGTGTGTGTAAATATTGTTCCTACATGATGCTTTTATGTAAAGCGCCTAGAGCTGTGTTCACAGGGGAGTGGGCGCTATAGAAATGACCTACATTATTATTATTTACGGATAAGTGGTTTTTTTGTTGTATTTTACAATTTAATTTAGTGTTAAAACTATACCATACAGGTTTTAAAACAGAAAACATCTTAAATTGATGTAAATACAGATTACAGGGGTATCAAAGGTTTAAAGAGAAAAATGGAACAGGATCTGAACTGATTGGAGCATATTTTGAATTTTTAGAGGTTGTTTCGTAAATCTCCCGTCAAATTTTTGTTTTTTAACTAAACCTCGTGAAACTTCATACACTTCTAGACATTTGCATGAACCAAGTACCCGGTAGGCCAATGTACTAAATTTGGTCAAATTTTAGGCATTCATTTAAAAGTTATTATGAAAACCAAGGGTTCCGTTACTAGTAAATGTGGTTAATAACATTTGTATTGTGTGTCATGATTTGTTAAAAGGCTGTTCTGCTTTTATGCTACTCAAATTTTCAGGGTTTTTTCTGAAAATTTTAAGCCCATTTTAATGCGCCTGGGACAGGAAGGTTGCATTTTTTTTGCAGTTTACCTTGCATTTTTGGGCAATTTTTCTATTTTAAAAACGCAATTTTCGGCGGGGCCAGATATACAGTATAATCCGCTTATACCGACATGCTTTGGGAAGTGGATTTGATGTCGATATATAGAAATGTTGATAAATGAAAATATAAAGCCAAAGAGGAAAAAAACAAGGGGAGGTCCGCGGTAAAAAGACAATACTACTTTTTTAAGCTGGTCGCTTACCTTGATTGTTACACAACTACACAGTGAAACTAACAAGAGGCAGAGGAGAGGGGGAGATTGGAGTTACGGTACCAAAGACTGAGCAGTGCGAGGCCCACGCTACACACCAGCGCAAACTTTGTTGTAGCTTCTTTGCAAGGCCTGTTTATGGCCGTTTGCTGGGGAAAGTGGAAAGGCGAAGCACTGACCCACTGTCCGTGGCACTTGCCAGCAACAGATTGAGAACGGGACGGGGAAAGGGAGTGAGCGATCGGGAGCGGGTGTAGGGAGGTGATGCCCAGCCCGCCAGACGCTCACATGTGTGAGGCACTGTACTGTGTAGAAGACTACACTGTGTAGGCCCTACATGACCTACTAAAGCCTGGTGTGTCGATATAGGCTACTTGGCAGTTATGCAGACTTAATAAAGAACTAATGCGTTGACCGTTAGCGTGGCTTTTCCCCCCATTTCTGTTCGTGGGCTTCACCAGGTACCCAGGAAGAATGTCGATAAAGCAGAGTGGGCCGAAAAAAAGTCGATATAAGAGAAATTGTTTAGTGAAGATATTGAAGAAAAAATTTCGTAATTGGAAAATACGTCGATATGTCAAAAAGTCGATAAATCGGACGTCGATATAAGTGGATAATACGGTAAACACAATATTATTATTCGTGCTAAATGAACTCTTTAGATCCCGTAAAAGCAAAAAGTTCTAAGATTTTCACCCTTTTCATTAAACAGTATTTGACGAAAGCCAAAGCAAACAAGTACAGTGCAGCCTCTCTATAACGAAATTGTCGGAACCAGACAAAAATGTTACAGAGAGTTGTTGTTGTAGAGAGGCAACCAAAAATAATATTACTAATGATATAGAAGGAAACAAAATCGGGATCTGGGCACCGTGTCACTATACAGAGGATGTCATATCGAAGGTCGATATACAGACGCTGCCCTGTAAATGGAAATGGCCAAAAAGTAGATTCTTCTCCTGACCAAACACTCCTTGAACAATAATCATGAGTATTATAGCTTAAGTGATGTGAAAGACAGCAAGTAGACTAAAAAAAAAAAACCCACCAATCTTCTGTAATAAATAACAGTTAATCAGTTTTTAACCATTTTTAGTGTGTCTTACTTTTGCAAGGGCAGAATTATATCAAATACATAAACAATCAAGACGATCATGAGGTAGTCATCTTAAATCTATACTACTATGGGAAAATAAAAAAGTACTCCTCCGAGCAGTAACTTTATAATTCATTCTGCACCTGAGACTTGTCCACATATCTTGCCACCTGGATAGAGACCAGGTCTGAGGCAATGTCCAGCGCACCGTCCTCCTGTGGCACGGTCACAGACACCAACTGGCGGTCCGACTCCTCTCCTTTCACGTGCAGGTGGATTGACTGGTTCCTGAGCATGCTACCATAGGCTAGTAGGTCCTCGCTGGTCCACGACAGGTCTTCTGCAGGCTCAACCCCTAGAGGTTTGGAAAACAAAATAGACAAACTTGTCTCTCGTACATACGTGTAATCCACAAAATTCAATTACACTTAAAACCTCACTTCTAAAGGATAACAAAACAAGGAAGACAAAGAAATTATCTCTAGTGCATATTTGAAATCTAAGATTTTTTGTTCACACCTAGATCCTATGTGCATATTATACCATCATTATTGACAGACAATTCCTTTAACTTCCTCTCTTAGCTTGTGACAATCACAGTTTAAGGAGCTCTGAACTCTCTTGTAGTGTTTGCCAAGAGTTTGAATACTATCACATCAGATACAAACCTTTTCATGTACCAGAGCAGAAGTAGATCTAAGGTGATTGTACAACTAACACGACTTTGTGAAAAACAATTACACACAAAGGTCACTGTCATCTGCCTCAGGTAAGATGCACACATCAATAGAACCGACCAATCAGCATAAAGGAAACATAACGTTTCAATGTGTCAAAACATCACCCCCCCCTCCCCACACACATGCGCGTGCATACAAAGTGTTCTGCTGTATATTTACAAAAAAATACAGAGGGCTAAGCCAGTGTTTCAAATACATAAGGAAGAGTTACATCCCCATAAGCCTTTCTTTTTTCCCAAAACTATTAGCATGAGAAAGACTTACCATACAATTTACACCTGATCAGATAAACCGGCAAAGACATGAGCTCTGGTGACAACATTCGTAGATCCTCTGAGCTACGTTCTTCTGAATTCCCAAAGTCTACGTACTTGACAGACACTATGGAGCCTTTGACCTGTTATGAGAGATACACAGTAAATGCTCAATTTTGTTTGTTACGATTTTCTAACATAGCTTGGGCCAAAAAAATAACTCCAAACCAAAAACCCTCATGATGAGAGTTAAAATAAGAACCCCCACATTCTTGGGACAAACAAAAATGTTTCAACTTCATGAACAAAATCTTGTATGATCCTGTATATATATATTTGATAAATAAAAATGATCCATTCAGTTAGTAAGGAGGTTAAGTGAAAACTGAAAAACAAAATTTATCTCCATTACCAAGACGTCTGAGAGTATCGTTGAAGGAAAAGAAATCAAATGAGGTACTTGATGAAGCCTACGTGGGACGCTCACTGTTAAAAACAATCAGGAAAAGACAAATGCAGTTTTAGGGACACCTGGAAAGACAAAGGCCTTGAATATCTCGATCCCACTGGCAAAACTGAAGGTAAAATGAGGCAGGGGTAAGCTCTGAGCAATCAACTTAGAGAACCTAAACAGATGGGTAACTGGGAAAGATCAGGGTAACGCAGCTTTTTTAAGAGTATACACGTAAAGGACTGAATGGGGAACCATGATCGCCGATGCCTGCCGCAGATCTGGCACTTGATGATGATGATGAACAACTATTACCCAAAAAAAATCTTTAAAACCAGTGAGTCACTACAAAATCTGCTCACCTCGCACACTTGACATCTGTACCAGGTGCCCTCGTACTGACAGGCATAGACTCCGCCAACGACAGGTTTGGGACAACCCGCCTGGGCCCCACTGTCCACAGCCTGCCTCAGCTGCTCGGACAGAGCCACCACCCGCGACAGATCTGGACACAACGACACAAGCATTGTAAGACCAAATTTGTGCTGAACAATTATAGTTTTAGTAGAAGTTTTACGGCACTCGCAACTGCATAAGGTCATATGAGCACCAAGGGGTAGATGTCAACAGAGAAGTCCTTACAGGGAATCAGACTTACTCTGCTCACCTCGCTAGCTTCAGCAGCACAGTTTGCTTCGACTCTCAAGGCACCCTGAAAATAGCGGGACACAAGAGTGTGACAAACATACAGAAGAAGTAGAGGAAAATGACGATAGTAACGTTTAGGAAAGAAAAAGCAGCAGTTCCCTGTTGTAGTTCAGGCACAGTTATGAGCATGACATTGTTAGATCAGCTCATTTACAATTCTACTGTGCACTAGAACGAGAAATGTCTCCCCTTTGTGAATGGCCTACAGACATTTCAGTCAGTGGCACCACCCCGGGGGGGTTGTGCTGAGCAGGGTAGGCCAAAAACTTACATTTATAACAAGAAACTGTTCCGGGTTAAATCAGTTTCCAAAAAAAAATTACTGCCAACTCCCAGTGGCTCCCATTTTCACAACCACTTGAACAAAGAGTTTGGTTTTGATGTGAATATCCTCTTTACAAATTCTGTTTCCCTCTTCTCCCTTTTATTCTATCTCCTACATTTTACTCTGCATTATTTTTATAAAAAACGAAGTGAATTAATGAACAAAACATACAGAGTTTATACCTGTTAAAAGGATATAATGCCAGTAGACAAAGAGGCATTCCACAATATGCACACAAAAAAGAAAGAATGAATGAAAGTAAGAAAAAAAAAAAAAGAATCAAAGTAAGTTAGAAAGAAACAGAAAGAAAATAGGAAAAAAAAAAGAACAATCTGTGTTTAAAAAATTCACCTTCTATCCTCATGCAATAGAAGTCTGCGAGACTGTCCAAGGTACAGATATGAGCATCAAACTGTCTGTCGGACGGCATCTCAAAGATGAGATCGTCGACCATAGGGATGGCCGCTGGGGCAGCAGGGTCAGGATCAGGCTGTAACACAGAGATAGATACAGGTATGCTTTCAGATTTCTCTCATAAACAGCCTCTTGTTTAGTTTTAGTAAGAGTTTTACGGCACTTGCAACACAATAAGGTCATATAAGTGCCAGAGATTAGAGGTGTTACAAGAGAGTAACAAACACAAAAAAGAAGAGGGGAGGGATCAGGATGATAGATGTTCGATAGGAAAGAAGGAGCAAACCACACCAGAGCACCCGCCAACCACCCGCAGAGCCTCTTGGTAGATCAAAGTACGATCACAGTCGAAAACAGCTGTTCCTCTCTTGTAAAGGTGTAAGGAGGGTAAGGTGTGGTTGAAATTGTTTCAAAGGTCAATATAATAGCACCTCAGGATTTTCCAATTCTTTCTTTAACATTACGTTTCTCATTTATAATAAACTATCCTATCACAAAACCAACGCTGTTTTTTCTTTACTACTAAAATATCCCCATGACAAAAGTAAGCAGTTTGAACTCTTTCTTGTCCAATATATAACTTTCTAACACTTTCTCATATGATGTTAGTCCTTCGCTGGCGAAGATGACCCTGACTTTACATCACTGGAGGGATGGGGTGTGTGCGGAGATGGCTGATCAAGCTGATCTTCGCTCGCAAATGTCTGTTGCAGTGGGGGCAGGGGATGTTTTTTGGGGCTGAACTAGACTGGAAGGTAGGGGTCTCTCGGTCTTTTCTCAGCTGCCGTCTCCATTCTTTCTTTCTGATGTGTCTTTCTTCGAACTTGGCGACTCCCGATTTTACTAAGGAGCGCCAAACACTTTCTAATATGAACAGTTTGGTGAATCACAGTAAAGAACCTCTTGGCAACGTAAGAAGGAAGACAACACTGGAGCAAACCATTCAAATAAAAAAATACTGTGAATGCACTGAGAAAGCACTTTTGATATGCTCTTTTTTTTACACGTAAGGGAGAAATCCCGATAATAGCAGCAGGAAGATTGAGGAGACCCAAAAGCTCTGCTTTAAAAAAAAAATCTAGTGTGCATAATAGAGCAACTACTTAAGAAAAGTAAAAATGTATACATTCAAAGCAACCTAGCAGTGAGTGATCAAAGCCAACATACAGCAAACTTCCCACTGATGCACTCTCCGTGCTCATTCTCCATGCGGACGATGTAGACCCCTGCCCTGTGCTCCACCACCTGAACTGTCACTGGCTTCTCCAGCAGTTCACCTTGTAAGTGTTGCAAAAAGTCAGGATCTAGAGCTTTCTTTTCCGACAATCCCTTCTCGTGGCCCTGGAGACAGAAACAGATTAAGAATGAGAAACTCTTGACACTCACGTTGAGAGTACATACCCTGTACTAGCAATGAAACATAGATAATTTCTGTTTAAGTTTTCACACATGTTGAGAAATAACACACACGGTACAAATACAAGCCTAACTATTTAACTATTTGCTATAACTGAGGGGAAAAATAAAATGAGAGAGTGGAGTAGTGGGGAAAAAACTGAAAATATGCTCAAAATGTTTAGAATTACATCTTACTGCACCTATTTGAACTTATAACTGATCAGCAACAGAAACATTTAGCTTACTGAAGAGAATCTTAATTATTCATGATAAATTAAGAGACAGGGATATCAAATTCTTGCAAAAGCATTTCCAAGCTTAAGTCCTTTAGGGGTTTCCAAGTCTTTCTACCCTGTCCTTTCAGAGGCTGATATCAATTTGAAGTTGCTACTTTAAAAATCACTCCCTCATAAACAGCTCTAAGACTACAGAGTGAAATGAATGCTCTAAGTACCTAATTGTAACAAACCAGTTTAAACCACGATAAAGAAAAAATCAGGCACTACTCGTGTACCTCCAGACAGCACCGGATGGCCTGAGCAGGCAACTCGGTCAGCAGAGGATCAAGCTCCCTTAGATCTGCCACAGACGTCTCCTCCGAGTTGCCGTAGTCTACAAACTGGACCACGCACTTGTCCACACCACGCATCACTTCCACATACGCCCGATACCAGCTCTGGTCTTTGCTGAACCGCGCCGCACACAAAGCGCCCGCACCGGGCCGGGGCAGGGAAGGTAAGGAGTCTCCGACCTCGTTCAGAGCCTGCATCAGCTCCAGCTGTTCTGCGACATGAAGAGTGCCCACGACGTAGAGCTCCGAGCACGACTCCACAGAAGTGACCATGACCGGCACTGCCTCGCCACTGTCTGGTAGATATTCTGTGGACAGACGTCTTGTTGCTGACAAAGGTGGCTCTGGCACTGAAGACTGTTTGGGAGATGACTAAAAAACAAAACAAAGAAAAAACACTCAAAAAATGTTTAACATTACTTGACTTCATGATCCAAAAATATACAAAATCACACATTCATGAATTTCGATCTGTTGACCCAAAGATACTTCTAAAGGACATCCCGTCAAGCCTCGTTATACTGCCAAACTTGGGTCAAACATGAAGTTGGTAGTATGGCTGGGCTGACGGAAGATCAGGATTTTAATGGCTGTGTGTGCATGTGGTCTATAATGGAATTTGACAGTATTTTGGAATGTAAGAAAAACTTTTCATTGCTTACTGTTTTTGAAGTTTGAGAACACTTAGATACAATAATATACAGTTTGTGACTATGCCAATAATTTTGAAATATGAGAGCAAATGATTAAAAAAAAATAAATTTACACAACATGGAATTGAAAAGCAAAACATGGACATAGAAGGTCTTGAAAGTGCAAAAACAATCAAGTCATTTGAGTTATTCTCATAAGGCCATTACTACTGTGAATAATCACAAGGGTTTGATGAAAATAACAAAAGGACTTACAATTGACAGAGCTGCGAGCTTTGAGGACGGAATCTCTGGGACGGGCGCTTTGATGAACTGGTCAGTGAGGCTGTGGCCTTGGCTGTCCAAAATGTCAACAGTACAGATGTCCTCATTCTGATCCAGCACCACCACTTGATCCATCTGGATAAGTGAAAATAATCAAAGCGCTGACAATTACATAAGAGTATAACACCTCTTTCAACATGAAAACACTGAATCACTTAGCTAGCTTGTTTGTTCAAAGATTACTACGTGTTAGAAAAAAGCAAGCACATTTTATTTTCTTTGAATAAAAGGAAGCACATTAACACAGTAATAGTCATTCAGCGCTAGGGGTGACCTCCAACCACCTCTTGTGCTAAAAGATTGACAAATGGCTGATGGAAATGAGAAAAGAACAAGACATGAGCATTTCCTGCGAAAGTCTCACTTTTCTCTTCCAAAACCATAAAGGACTATGTTGTAATAACTGCCCTGCATTGGAAGACAGACTTGAACAGACTAACAGTTTTCTGGAAGTGTATTCCTTTTACAATGCCTTTGCATCTTGAACCCATGGACAAGTACATAAATGAAAGCAAAAAACTAAGAAGTCACCCAAGGAACAACACAAAGCAAATCAAAGTTAATGTATATGAAGAAAAGCACTGAAGTAAGTGCAAGTCAGATCAACAACAACCATATTTTCCTGGAACAAATTAACACTAAAACACGAAAAAGTACTAGCAGCACACTACACCAGAAGACCCAGAAAATGACATGCATAACCACATTCTGAAAATAGGCTTTGAGAGGAAAAAAGAGCGGGCTGTGTGTGTGTGTGTTGGTGTGTGTGTGTGTGTGTGTGTGTGTGTGTGTGTTGGTTGGTGTGTGAGTGTGTGTGTGCGTTTCGATTCTTTGTAATGAGGAAGATGATGAAGACAATGTACTGTAATGTAATGAAAAGCTCAAGACAAGAAAAACAGAAAAGAAAAACCCCCCAACATTTTGGAAATAAGTTTAGACATTTAGGCTAGACTGAAGACCAGTAATGGCAGTACATCTTACCTCACTGAGGCTATGAATGTTATCCGTAACAGCGTTATCCTTCGTGCATCCCCGCAAGCAGCACTTCACGGTACAAGCTGGCATCTCAACATCCTCTGCTCTCAGCTGCATCAAGTCACTGATATTGCACTCTTCAAAATTGCCATAATCCACAAAGAACAGAACGCACGTGTCACCTGTCACTTTCTCCACACGACATCGGTACCAGATGATTTCCTCATCTTGTGAAAACTTGCTGGCCACCGAGTCCCCGACTTTGACACTGGTCACTGGCCGTGGGTTCGAGTCGATGTGGGTTTTCAGAGCTAGCGTGATGTTTCTGGCCTCGGTCACGTGAGACATGATTTGAACGTAAAACTCCAAAGGACTGACTACAAAGACACATACTGCTTCAATAGGCTTGTTCTTCTCCATCACAAAGTTTGCGATTTTTCTCCCCTGAACAGACTCCATTTGAGCTCTCACTTCTTTCCTCTGTTGGGAAAAAGCAAAGCTCATTCAAAACACATAAACAATAACATTCAATACAGCACTTCTGACCTGTTAAAAATACAGTTTAAGTAATATGTGCCAGGGTGTACATTTGAGAAAAACAAAATTCAATTTAAGAAGGAAGCTAACATAGAAAGACATGGTCATAGAGTCCACATCATTTTGGAAGTGTTCTGAACCCCATTATTGTTAAAGTTTGAAGTAATTCATAAGTAGCAAAAAAGGAAACAAATAATTTATAAGAGTGAAAAGATAAGTGAAACAATAATACCTTGAGAGCTTTGCGCGCTTCAGTCTTGAGGAGTAAAGAGATGTCGGTGCCATCCAGCTTAAATGCATCCACAGGGACACTGGTGCATTCAGTATCAGCACTGAGTCTTTTCACAAGCACAGTTTGGTACTCAAACCACTCTTTAAACTCCTGCATAGTTTTTGGTGGGCAGTCAGGCACATCTTCTATGCTGCAGCGGATAGCCTGTGCTGGCAAGGACTGCAGAGCAGGAGGAAGAGCTCTCAGCTGGGAACAATCCACCGACTCAGAGTTGCCAAAATCCAGAAAAAAGACTCTGGCGCTTTCCCCTTCGACGTTGTCTACTCTAGCTCGGTACCACGTTTCATCAAAGTCAAACAAAGCAGCAACATTCATGCCAGGATACACTTTCTTCAGGGCTGGCTTAGAGGCCACGGTTTTGTTCAGTTTCAACATCATGTCAATGTACTCTTTGTCTCGACTGCTGAGTCTCACGTAAAATTCTGTACAGCCCTGGAAAAATGTCACTACAACTTTGACATCACCGGCGGCCATCCCAGGCAGGACCTCCACACTCATGACAACTGGAGAACTGGTTGCTTCCGGACCCAGAGACGAAGGTGAGGAGGAAGACACCTCGCCACCCGTTCCTGACGTTGTTCCTCTACTCCCGGCCACGGGTGAGGTCATCAGGGAAGCTCCAGGCTGCCTGAAGTCCATGCCTGTCTTGGGACTAGAAGATTTGCTTGAGGTGGCAGGAGACAAAGGTGATTTATTTGAGGCTGCAGTCGCCTGTCTATGGGCTGATGCAGTCTCGGCTGAAGGAGAAGAGCGGGGTAAAGATGCCACCCTCTTCTGAAAGACTTGAGACAAGGCTTCACCAGTGGTGTTGTTCGTAATATCTATTACAAGCTGGCTACCACTTTTCTGCTTAACCGACATCATAGCTGGGCTAATCTTGTACTCTTCTAGAAGTGACTGAAATTCCTGAAGAGAAAAATATAAACATTTTGTTAAGGTGTGCAATAAATTTAGCTTTTAATAAAATAGATGTTAACTTGGAAAAAAAAATGCATTCTCTTCAAAGGAAAAATTGATTTAAAAGCCCTTTTAAAGAATATTTGTAGCTGACAGATGTCTGTTGTTAGAACAGAGTTTTTGGCCTTCAGCTCATCCTCGCTATGTTATAAGAAAAGTAGCCGAAATCATCAGTTTGTCCTGCAGTTGTCCTCATGCCAAGAAAATTTTCAATTATAAACTTGCCAAAAACTATGTCCAATCGCAAAAATAATGCCAGATTAGGAACCAATGTATCAAAACTAGTGAAATGATTCTCGAGTGAGTCTCTTGCTGTAGTTTGAAGACCACAAAAATATTTTTACCACAATTGCATTATGTCCTTTTTATGATTTCAGAACGTAGTCACAAGATTGTCATTTCATTTAATTCCCAGCCCTTGGCTTTATACATAATTCTCAGGGAAGTGGTAAGCAAATGGTGCACTTGAAAATCTTGAAAATATAAGTCTTGATTTACATCATGTCTTCATTCAGTAGTCATTTATCAAAAATCTATTGTCCTACGAGTATTTGTGGAAAATCAAGTTTTAAAAAATTACAGAAATATTGAAGAACATATCCAAGTATGTCAACAGCCCGATACCACGAGATGGGATTTTCTCAGTGTAGATGTGTGACCCAGACCGCCTTCAGTTCAATCATTGTGAGCAATAATTAACTAGCCTTACGATTGGCTGGAGGCCAAAATTTGTTACATAACTGTCAGGTCTATGTGTCATACCTCCCTTAAGGGACTAGGCCTTCTATGTGTTCAACTTTACTGTACAAGATAAATGGGGTTGAGAAAGAAATACTGTTACCTGATGTGCTACAGCAGCATCAACATTGGACGGGATAGACACATTGTGAAAGGCAAACTTTACTGCCTGGGCTGGGCAGTCTTTGAGGAAAGTGTCTTTGGCTTTCCGGATGTCCTCTATTGTACATTCCTCCTTATTGCCATAGTCCACAAAAACCAGCGAGAACTTCCCAGATTTCTCTGCTTCCACTTCGGCACGATACCAGCTGCCATCTGCTGAGAATTTCCCCAACACCAGCTCCCCAACCACAGGTCTGAAAAAGAGAAAGCTCCTTTTAACTTTTATCTCCGGAGGAGGTTTTCCCACTGACTGTGCCAGGGCCGTATTCGGTAAGAAACCTGAGAGTGACATATGCGGCACTAAATTGATCTTTAATTGAAAAGAAATGAAGCTATTTTGACAGTTCTTCATCTAACGAAAGAACTCCCTGTAAGAGAGACCAATATTAATATAAAGGAATGTGACTGAACCACTGCCAGTGATTCATCGCCACAGAGGTTCCAACCACACAAGCTGCTGGGAGCAGTTTGCCAGAGATAAGGAGTTACTTCACTGGATTAAAATAGGAAAACACAATGTCATTACATAGGCCTAAGTCAAGCTTAACACATCTTTTCAATTCAATTTTCATTGCGATGAAGATACATGTACAAAATGGGACTGAAAATTTAACATGAATGAGATACAGACAGGAGTCAGAAAAAGGAGAAAAATATTGTCCGTAAACTGTTCAAATGTACAAAGCCCAGAAAGCAACATTTTCAAGAGAGGGAAAAAACTGTTAGATTCTTTTAACAACTGTACATGCTTACATTATGGATCTTTGCTTTTTTTTTTTTCTTCTTAAAAATTTAGAATTTGGATTTCCACAAAATATTTCTTGAGTACAAGCAACCAATACTATGGATTAAGAAACTGCAATAAAAAAAACTTTCAAACTTTTGGACTTAGTACATCTGAACAGCTGGCCACAATGATACACCTTTCCCTCAAAGACTTCCGAAAACAAATGGTCACTTTTAAGCACAAGGGGGCTATCCCGAAAAATGTTGTTTTGAGAAAAGCAAAGTTAAAGTTTTTGGACCCTTATTCAGTTTCTTTAAAAGACAGGGAGAGTTTTCTCTATAACCAAACAAATATACACACCAATGAAACCAAACTTCTCCTATAGGTAGGGCAATACCCACCCCGAAATCTGGCTTAGCCCGCTTGTCCTTAAAAGCGACTAAATAGAAGGAAGGTTGTAAAATACTTCTATAGCGTTTCAGAAAATGGTCAACAAGGTACCTGTAAGGTTCAGTATCAAGAGCAGCTTCCTTCAGCAGAGTCTCGAGCTTCTGCACAGTCGACAACACATCTTCCGTGACGGGTTGAGCCCAGATGTTTACAGGGGACTGCACCTCAGTCAGCAGGCAGAAGACTTCGGAGCCAACTTTGATGTCATCAGCAACACTCTTCATGTCGCCTACCATCCTCCTGCACAAACAATTTAAAACTCCTTTAGCACACACATACATCAGGAGGCCATTTTTTTCCTTTTATTTTTATGTGCAGCCATTGAGCGGCAGTCTTTAGTGAGTCAGCATAACAGCAATCACATTTCGCAAAAAATAACAAAGAATCATATGGAATAGAAGCAGATCACATCAGATCATCGCAAATCAATAAAATAATAATAATAATAGTAATAACAATAATGATAATAATAATAATGATGATGTGACAATAATACAGATACTTTCTATACCACTCACTCCGGTAAAATACAACTCTTGGCGCTTTACAAAATTTTCATCTTTACAAAAAAAACACAATGTCATCGTGACCGATCACGAACATGCATACACACACTCTTTAGATTATCACTAACACATAAACGAACATCCATACTATCACAGCACAATCATATTATTATCTAAAATAAAATACACATACAGCACTATGGACAGTATCAGTAAGGAGAAAACGTATGATAATAACAATTTTTTCAAAACAATAAAATTAACAAAGGTACTTGCTAACAAAACACAAATTATGACCATTTAAGTCAAAGTTAATACTTCTTCCTCGGTATCAGAACAAGCCAAACACAGAAATATCCAATTAAAGTCATACTATCCCACCTTTTCCTTTTCTTGAGTAAATCCACAAATGGAAGTACAGAAAAAATTTTAATGTACACATCTTGATCAACAGCCAATATGAAACCACACAACAGTCTCCTGTTCTCATTTGTAGACACAACTCTCATCGATTTTAAAACCTTATTTCATATTCACCAATCAGCACACAACTTCAGATCATTATAAATGAGAAAGCAACCTAAAACTGTAAGCATGAAGCAAGAGCCTCAAAATGTATATAACAGACAGTAAAGCATTGTCAATAAAATAACACTGAGAGCTACAACATGTAAAAACCTGTCCATCCTTGACCCGAAATTCCTGTCACAATCTGTACACTCACCTAGAAGCAGCTGCTGGCTTCTCTGTACCTTGTCTCAAGGAAGGCAAACTAGGTTCGCTGATGACTCGTTCTGCAAAACCTCTTGACACAAGCACATCACTCAACGATTCTGATGAACAGAAGGATTGGAAGATGAGGGGGGGGTTACCGCTAGGGTCACTTTTTCAGCAAAGTATGGAGCATTGTACTACTTTCCCTCTTTTTATCACGACCAAACGCAACAATACCGAATTCAAGAACATAACGCTACATAACAGAGTCCAGGAAATAAAGAGTAAATAATCGGAATGAACATCTTTGCTATAGCCTTTGTTCAGTTTCTATTTGAAAGTAACATAATCAGTGCTTCCAACAGCTGAAGCTGAAAAGTAAGGAAAATTCAGAGGGGGGGGTCTGTTTGAAGAGACCTTTTAGAAAAATGCCAAATTCTTTCCTATTTGGTTTTTCTTCCCATGTTCTTTCCTATCATTTGGAAAAGACATCCAGGCAGAGCTAGAGAGACTTGTTTAAAATTGTAAACAATAATTTATTCAATTTCAAACACTAAAAAGTGGTTTTTAAAAAAACAAAAAAACCTTTGACCCTCCAAAACCTGTAACTGTCTTTTAATATTATAGAAATTCTTTTAATATTATAGAAAAACTTCTATTTATTACTGAATAGTATAATCTGAAAGACCATCAGTTTTGATTTGATATTTGAAGAGAACACAATCATTGCCAGGTGGTATGCAATGCAAGTTTATCTATCAACTGGAAAATTTAAATGTTGTCCTAAATATTCCCTGCTCATAGGGAAAAAAAGAACTTACCGCCGTTACAACTGAGATTCATGGCAAATCTGGATCCTCTTCTGGTCACCATTGTGTATTTGAACATCTTTGTCATTGCCTCTCCGAACCATTCCTTGACGAAGGTATTGGCTGCCTCACTCCAGGAACCCGACCCCACAGGTTTCAACTGACTGATACAGCAGCACAACACCTAGGTACAAACACGGAAACACACAGGACATCTCTTCATTTTGTTAGGTCAAGCTGAGGACATTGCAATGGATATGAAAAGCAATGCAAAACAAGACAGCCTATGCCAGAGAATGTGCAGCAGACAGCCATACGCCTTGAATCTTGGTACAGAATACAAAAAAATTGGAAGGAACTTTTGACAATATTCCAGGCTTTGAGGAGGCAAAAGCACTGGATGGTTAACAGTCCTTGGATTAAAACCTCCAAAATCCACACAGAGTCAAAGGTAAAACTTGATAAGGACATAAGAACCACATTGCTTAACTTGAATGTTAAATAATTAACAAAAACATGTCCCACTCCCTACCTGTGCAGGAATGAGAAGCATGTCTGCAGAAAGCGGTCTCAAATTTTGACGCTCCACTGTATCTTGTGATCCAACATCCACAAAAAAGATTGTGACACTGTTCCCCTTGACAGCCACCACCCGAGCTCGGCACCATTCTTCCATGTACTTGGCTCCAACCATATCACCAGCTTTTACTCTCTCTGGGGGCTGCACTGATGCATCATTTAAGAGCTGTACGCAAAAAACAAAACAATAAACTGCTCTTTAGATCAAAAAGATGTATCTTTCAGTTCCCTCACAGTAAAACAATCAAATATGGTTTGTTATTGAACACTTGTGAGCATATTTTTCAACCACTGGAGTTAGCCTGCCTATAAGATCAGATTTTGTTAAGTGATGAGTGAGAAGAAGGAAAGAGATTCTAAAAGGTGAAAAGAACACAATATTCCAATCTGATACTGGCCTCCTTTTCTTACACACTTGAAAACTAATTCTTTCAGTAAAAAATAGGAGACAAGAAACGATGTGTATCAGTAATCACAGAAACAAATATTCAGGCGAAGGACGAAACCAAACTCAAGACATTGATTCTGATAATGAAAAATGACAATATATTCTCCCTCACTGTCAGTGTCACCTCTAAGCTACAGACAATGCTAGCACTTCTAGAGAAACCAGCCCCTGCCAGAAGGTTTCTACTCCAGAGGCATCTTTTGAAACAATACTATAGTCATTGTTGTTGTTATCGATCCAGCAACAGCTGGGCTCTCGCCCTTCTGTCCAATGCCATGTAGTGATAAGTGCAGGTTTGCTGCAGTTGCTGTAATGTTCCATAGAGTGTGTTGTGAAACAATACAGTTAATGTGAATACTTTCAGTTGCACCCATCATTTCAGCATTTTTTTGAGCGACTTTAGAATGCTTTTGTCACAATGTACGGCATTCATATTTCAAGTCCCTGGGTTTTGAAATAAAGATGTTAAGAAATGTTCTTCCTCCTCTGAAACAAGTATCATTCCCCAGTTTTTGTGCAATAATGAGTAAAGAAACAAAAATGAAATGAACTGAGGGGAAAAAGACATACCTCATGAAGCAAAGTGCAAAACTCTGCAAATTCAGCCAAACTTTCCTCCAGAGACATCCAGAACTTGGCAGGGCTCTCATAATAAGTCATCAAACACTGAAAAAAAACCCCACAACAGCAAAGTAACATTTCCGACAAAGCATAAAAAATAAGAATGTTCATACAGAGGGTTACATTTGAGTGAGTAACAGTTCGAAGCCCAGCCAGCAAGACACAATCCCATCTTGCCAGAAATGGGCAATGAAAATAGTTTACCTTAAAGGAAGTGAAATCTGATTAGTCCTATAATTTTTTTTAAGCGTTCCCTTCACACGAACGACATGGATATTTACAAAATATCAACACATCGATTGGCTCCTTTATGAAATGTAGGTGAACAAAGCAGGTGTACAACTCACCTTTCCGCAGCTGTCCTCTGGCACTGTGATCTCCACCAGGTTGCTTGACGCATCTCCAGCTTCTGCCTCATTAACATTTGACGGTACCTCATCGGTCACTTTGACCTGGTCAGACGCAGACGAACCACCTGTCTGTTTTCCTCCAGCATTCTGTCTTACAGCGACCTCTTTCTTCGACTTCTGTGGCTCAGTTCCCCCCTGATCAGACTGTGGTTTTTTTCCACTCTTTGCATTTTTCTGATCTTTGTTTTGCTCTCTCTCGTCAAATTTCTTTCCTTTAGCATTTACGGCTTTCTTTCTATCAGACTCATAGCCATCATCCAGACTTCCTTTCTGAGCACCTTTACTGGAAGTTGCGTTCGCCTTCGCTTCTTTTTTCTTGGGTGAATCAGCCTCATTTGTATTTGAAGCAGAATCTTGTTGTTTTCTGTTGGGTAGGTTTTCATCTAAATATTCCCTATGAACAAACAAAGAATGTTTACTGTATAATACATATAATCTTTCTGAAAAAAACAACAACCCTACATTCAAATGGAATTTTTCCTAACAGCTTTTCAAAATTAATGGAGCAGTTTACAACGCCTTACATGTTGAAGAAAAAGAGCTTGGTCACCTCTCAAGACATTTGGCTGACAGAAAATCAATTTTGAAAAGGATGAAAAAAATGTGTTTAAATTTAGACCCCATTTGCAATTAAACCCCCTAAAATGGCCACAGGATGTTCAAGTTCCTGCATCAAGTAACTGCACAAGAGCTGCTGGCCACCAGTGCTTATCTCACAGACAAGCCTAACAAGGATACTCTAAAACATGCCAAAAACCAACAACTACTACAAAATTCTAAAATATTAAATTAAATTTTAAAATATGCGTCAATCATCACCATTTGACAATATTGAGAGAGAGAGAGAGAGAGAGAGAGAGAGAGAGAGAGAGAGAGAGAGAGAGAGAGAGAAAGAGAGAGAGAGAGAGAGAGAGAGAGAGAGAGAGAGAGAGAGAGAGGAGAGAGAGAGAGAGAGAGAGAGAGAGAGCGCGCGCAAACATGACCTTCAGAGAAGTCTTCAACTTATATTATGCAAAAATACAACAACTCTTACTGAACCACTTGGCAAATTGTTCGGTGATTAGGCCAGTCCTTTTTCTGGCATTTCTCAGAACAGTAGTACATTTTGCAACCTCCACAACGGAAAGCAGAACCTGTGTTGCAAAATCAAAAGTAATCAACAAATAAATTCAGCTTTCATGAGATGTGGAATTAAGATTTCATACTGAAAAAGAAGTTAAAGATTACACACTTCATTTATTATAAATGTTAAAGTAGGAATACAGTTTCTCATTCCAAACCTGAACTACTTGTAACAGGTTCTAAACCAAACTCTAGTTAGTTCTCTTTGAAAGGAGAGCCAAATTTATATAATTGCCTACAAAGTGGGATCGCTGCATTTTAACAGGTAAACACCCACAGCAATGTAAGAAAACTCTTAGGACTGCATGCAGAACCCTTTGGACAAGACGAACAAGTCTAAACATTGCACTAACAAGTTGACATACGATAGAACACTGAATAAATAGACAAATGATATGGCACAGAAAAAATAGACAAATAACAGAGCACTGAATAAATCGACAGATGGTAAAACACTGAATATATTGACAAATGATAGAGCACTGAAAAAGTTGATAGATGATAAAACACCAGATAAGTGACAAATGATTATGTACTGAATAAGTTGACAGATGTTATTGAACTGAAAAAGTTCACAGTTGACAGAGCACTAGATAATACAACACTGAATAAATCAGTTGAGGACAGATCACTGAAAACATCGGCAGATGATAAAACACCCAAGCACCTACCTTCAGCACGACAGCACAAACACGTCTTCTTCGCTTGAACATGTCCACTCTTGGGTGCAGGCTGAAATCCTTGACCCCTGCCCACTCCTGGTCTGAATGGCTGCTGCTCTGGGACTCGCTTCCAGATCTGCTGTCCAAGAGGGTACCAAACAGACTGCATCCCGGGAAATCCTGAGCCTCGACCACGGGGGTCATAGCCCTCGGGGACCGCCCCCAGCAAGCCCTGGCCTCTTCCGCGATGAAACGGAGGACCGCTGCCTGTGGTGAGAGTAACGGGATTAGTTAACTTTGGATGATGAGCGTTCTCTAACCTAAAAAGCAGTTACTTATGGTAAAAATGATCAAGACAAAGTAAACTAAAGGATAAGAGAAAAACAAAGGACCAGTTACTGACATTCTGGTATATAATCACCTGAAGGACAGGCTGGATGTTTTCATTTGTCTGAGTAAAGTAAAGAACATCCACACAATAATAAACATTTTCATTGCAGGGAAAAAGCTAGAAAGTTTGCAAGAAACAAAAGTGTCAGAGAAAAGAAGTAGGACCTAGTACTGGCGTCCTTGATTAAGGAAAATAAAGGAAATCCCAATTTAGTAGATGGAATGGACTTGACAGGTTTGAGCCTATTGATAACTGACTCATCAACTCAAATTCTTTTTTTCTACTAGAGTTGAGAAGTCTTTGTTTTAGGAAGTGTTTTGCTGCACTTGTAACACAATAAGGTGATACAAGTGCCGAAGATAAGAGGTGTTAGTAACACACAAAAAAGGAGGCTAGATAAAGACGATAATGTTACCAATTATCAACTTTTGATCAAAAAGTATCAAAATTGGTCCTGGATCCACAATACATATGACTCCAACTTGCACGCCTCAGGCATTCAAGTGTAGATATACAAAATCATGATATTTACATCAAGATTTACAGTTTCAGGTATCTTAAAACATTACGAGATAACTTTATTAATATCGCATTATACAACTTCAAATCAGTTAACTGTAATTTGTTAGATACTTCAAATATCATTCCATACCTGATCCTGTTTTCTTTCCTTCAGCACCACTGACATACCTAAAAGGGACAAAAATAAACAGTAAAATGAGCAGATAAACTTACACAAGAAAGCATGTTACATTCAAACATTTTACCAGCAAAGAAAACCCCTTGATAAGTAAATAAATAAAAAGGCAGCTTTATCTGTCCTTTTATACTTTAGTTTTAAGAGTTTTACAGCACTTGCAACACAAATAAGCCACAAGAAAAAAAAATTAGAGGTATTATTAGAGAATAACATGTACAGAAAAGGACACATTAGGACAATAGACCTCCGACAGAAAAGAAGGAGCAAAACCACACCAAAGTACCTGCCAACTACAAACCCTCCCTTACTTCATAACGTCTGACAATCTAATTTTAATACAAAGGCATAACAACTAAATAAATCATATCACAAGCAAATAAAGAAAACAATAAATTGAATGGACTCACCCACTTTGTGAAGCTGCATCTTGCCTCTGAAGAGAAATAACACAAGAATTTGAAAATACAAAACCATATGAGCTTTCAAGTTTATATCACTGTTCAATTTGTGCTTAAATCTCTGACAAGCTTTTTACTCCCCAAATTGTAAAGTGCTTCAAAGAAGATGAATATAATGAGAAAGTAACACACAAATGAATAAGGCACAATGGTGACCCTCCCTCACCAACCCTGACTGTAAGAATAGAACACTTCTAAAATTATGATGTAACATTTGTGCTCCTTTCTTCTTTAGTGTTAAAAATAAAAGTCAGCATGGCTTCCTGATAAGAGAGAAAAAACGAGATTATTAAAGAGCAGAACAAAATCTGGTTCAATTACCTGTTGGTGAACGGCAGTCATGAAATCAGCTTCCACCTGTAACAGAGAGCATGCAATGTGAGTATTACAAGAAATCATAAATGACGCATAGCTGACTCAAGCAAGAGTTGAAATGTTTTCTGTGAAGCCTTTAACATGAAACCAGGGTTGAATGGACTGGTGTGCTTAACTTATAGTCTAAACCTGGCAGATTTCAGAATAAAGCTTAAAACTGCAGATCTTAAATCAGGTATGACGTCTTAAATCACACAACACATGGGTTCAGGAAATAAAACATCATTACATGTGCTTTAGTTTAGTATGGGGTTTTACAGCGCTCGCAACTGCATAAGGTCATATGAGCGCTCATTACGTGTGCAAACATACCATGATTCTAAGAAACAAACTATAAACCTTCTTTCATTCCAAGGCAGTAATGCACACTAGAACTTCTGTTACAAACATAAAACAAAAAGAAAATATAACCCCCACAATTATTACAAAAAGAACTAAAAACTGTAGATTTCCAACAAGACCTGGTGCTGCTTCTTGCGTCGTTGCTTCTCCTCTTGTGTTAGGGCTGGGGCAACTTTCAGGACACTTGATCCAATTTTCTTTTTGTGGAGCTTACGGATGGCAAGCTCTGCCTCAATAGCTGTCTCCATTGTAACAAAGCTGAAGATACAAGTTGTAAAAAAAACTTTTAGTTTTACTTTAGTAGAGTTTTTACGGCGCTCGCAACTGCATACGGTCATATGAGCACCAAAAGGTGGATGTCAACAGAGAAGTCTTTACAGGGAATCAGGTTTACTCTGCTCACCTCTCTAGCTTCAACAGCACAAAGTCTGCATCGACTATCAAGGCACCCCGGAAACAGAGGGTCACAAGAGTGTGACAAACATAGAAAAGAAGTAGAAGGAAAATGACGATAGTCAGGATTAGGAAAGAAAAAGCAGCAGTTCCCTGTTGCAGTTCAGGCACAGTCTTGAGCATGACATTGACGAATCAGCCCATTTACAATTCTACTGTGCATAAGAACATGTTAATGTACCCCTTTGGGAATGGCCTAAAGACACTTCAGTCCGTAACACCCCTTATCATTTTATTATATTATATTACAAAAATGAATCCTGCTTTGAGCCTGTGAAAGGGCCTAGAACCAGAATATATTATAAACGTGAAAGACAAAAATCATTGCTCAGACTCAAAGTAGAATAAAAACTTGAATGACTCGAGTATACTTATTCAGTGTGAGAGTTGTAACAACAGAAAGGGCAAGATGCAGTGACACTGAAAATCTGCTAATCTTGAACAGAAAGCTAAAATATAGTGAGAATTTACCATCACCCATCAAATGAAAGGCGAACACTTTAGTTTGGATTTGGTTTTTGAAATAGTCGAGCACTTTATGTATTTTCCCCGGGTCTTCACGGCTTTTTCTGGGGGCGATTTACAGATTTCCTCAATTCCCGAATCTCTGCGATTCTAATTAAATTCCCGGGGCCCTCGGGATTCCCAGGGCCGGGCAGTCACCTTGCACAACACCTATCTATCTAGATACCATTTTCTAAAGCCCCCAACATGCCAGTAACTTGAGGTTGCACTTGGGATCAAAAGCAAGTAACAAAGAATGAGTAATACGCAATAATCTATTTCATTAACTGGCAAGTATTTTATTTTACCTCAAGTAACTACGGATTTAAACAAGTTAGGCAAATCAGTTTTCAGTAAGATATGTTTACTTACCCATAGCCAAGTCTTTGATTTTCTTGACCAGAATGTAGTTTGGCATCTAACACGTTGCCATATTCAGCAAACAAATTGAAAAAACCATCCTGTGGGGAAAAAGATGAAACAGACTTGAGACCATTGTCCGAATAGTGGGCAAACACCTAACCTTTATTTTTAATATACTGTACAAATAGAAAAATCTCTCAGCATTTTCCTTTAAAGACAGTTCCTTTCTTTCTTTTTTCACATTCTCAATTGCTTTACAAACATTTATCAGAATGTATGCAAATCTACGGTGTAAATTGAAATTTAAGGTTAAAAAAATGAGTCTCATTTACTTTAGAATTACATCTGTAGGTTTAACAAGCCCAAATCAAGAAAATCGTAATTATTTTCAACAGCCAAACAGATAACGAATATTTTATTTTGAAGTTGACACAGGTGATATCCTCCCCTCTCGAACAAGCTCCAAGCCCAGATCAACGGATTTACATATCACATCAACTATATAAAACCTTAGCAGTTGCGAGCGCCGTAAAACCTTATACTATACATACAACTATATAAAATCTGTTTTAACCGAAACAAGCAGCATTGCATTCTCTTCGGCATATGCCATATCACCAGGCAAAAATTTCACTTCTGAAATATGGTAAAAAATAAACCCTTACCTGGCCTAGGTCCAAAGGAATACCGGCTGCATAAAGTTTCACACCTCCTTTCGCATTGCTGCAGAAAAACAATAGTCATTCAACATTGACGATACTCATATAATGATGATACTACAGCATAACATCCTCAGATGAAAATTTGAAAAGCATCATTGTTGTTCCATTCCATGCCTTCTCAAAACATTCAGACCATTATTTACCTTAGAGGAGGTGAAATTTGGGGGGGAGGGGGATATATTGATTCTGAAGAGTAAACCACTGTTCAAAAAGTTAACATGGATGACAGCCATTAACATGCACCCATAGCAGTAGAGCAATATAATTCACATAAAGTTTAGATGGCTCATGTGGTCATGAAACAAGAGCATTGCATGACATGCTGTCATTGACAGTGCCTGACTTTGAATTAATGAAAGACTTTCTAATTTCTGTAGACGCTGAAGCTGTACTAAGGGTACTTTAAGAAATACAGTTGACTGGCCAAGGTCGCTTTCTGAATTTATAAGACAACCAACTGCACAAACGGCCACTTTCCATTTCCCCCTTTGCAGTCCTGTCAAAGATCGCCATGTTTCTCCTTGATAGTGGAAAAACAAATGCTATAGCCCTTCAACAACAAATGAGTTATAAACCATCCACACAAGCAGGTAAAAAGTTGTTCCCGAATCCGATCCGGACATTGGGGATTGCCTTGTCAGTGAGACAACTTCCTGGGCCTTCGGCATATAGTGGTAGGGGGGCCAGTTCCTTTCCACGCCGCTTTTTTACTTCCCCAACTACAAGCTAGGTACCCATTACTGCTTGGCGGACAGGAGGGGGCAAAAAAACCCCCGTCCAAACCGAGGCTCGACCCCGGACTTTCTTCTTTGGAGACGAGTGCACTAACCGCTCCGCCACCGCACCCTCACACAAGCAGGTAATATATAATAATCATTTTACCTAGATTTTGTGGTTTAATTTTAACATTACCTACACATTTTCAACAAAACAACTTTGGAAGGAAAATTTTCTGTATTATACCTGGACACAAGGTCTCGGCCAACACCCTGGCTGTAGCGGTTAAAATCTGGATTGTCGTAGTCTCCAGACATCGGATCCCATGAGTCAAAGTCATCTGTGCACATAGATTGTCAATGGAACATCATATCAATTATTTATGAATCATTATATTTTATTAATTGCATAGAATTGGTCATATGTCTATGTTTTTTAATGAACACTCATTGAAAACACTTGTGTCCACTTTCTTGTTTTCACTCCACTCATCAATTATTGTAATGCTTTACTAGCTAACTTATCAAATATCACTTTTCACAAGTTGCGTTTTCAAAATCATGCTGCTTGGCTTATACTAAAGAAAAAGAAAAGGGATCACAATACTCAACTCCCAAGTTAAGAACGTTGTATTGGCTTCCCATGTCAGCTAGAATGTCATATAAATTGCAATATTATGTCATAAATGTGTCAATAACAAAGCTCCCTCACATCTTTGTGATCTCATCCAGATTTATGTTCCATCTAGATGACTAACATCAGGCGATCAGTATCTTTTAAGAGTTCCTATAACAGGAGGTAAAAAATTAGCTGAGAGATCGTTTGCCCACCTTGCTCCATCAGTTTGGAACTCTCTTCCCTAACCCTTGAGACATACAACATCTGACGGAGTCTAAATTTAAAATATCTTTAAAGTAAGACACAATTAATGACATCATATTAATGTCAATAGATTCATGTTCAGTACAATGTTATGTAAATGACTATGTATCCATTTACGTACTATGCAAATTGCATTGTGTACATTATGATGTATTTTTGTAAGTGCTCATTTCATAATGATGTGTAAGCGTGCGTGTGTGATAAGAAAGTAGATGTGTGTGTGGTGTGTGTGTGTGCGTGCGCGTGTGTTTGGCGAGCATGTATGTGCACATGTGTGTGTGAGTGTGTGTAAGGGTGTGTGTGTGCGCGCATGCGTGAACAGTGTTCGTACATGCATTTATGTACAGCGCCTAGAGCTGTGTTCACACGGGAGTGGGCGCTATAGAAATGATCTTCATTATTATTATTATCATTATTAGAATAGACAAAGACATTGTTTGTTTACTCAAATTCTTAGACGTATTTTTGGACCTTACAATGAACAATTTAAAAAAACAATAATACTTTGCATCTTAAAACACACACAAAATCTGAGCCTCAAGAGATATATATGTTTATCTAAATTGCATCCTAATTAATTAACAATTGCCGTAAAAATCACCTTCATTGGGGTTTGGCCGTCTTCTCCTTCCAGAAGACTCCATTCTGTCCTCCAGTAAACACTGTGACTCAACAATCACCCTATGCCTGAAAATAAGCAAGACGTGATACAAATATGTTTAGATCAGGAAAGCCTACAAATGAATTTTTACACTTTTAACCCTCTGAGCCCTAGCCACCAGTACACCGGTGAGCGAGACCCTATCCCCAAGTTTTAGTTTTAGTAGAGGTTTTACGGCGCTCGCAACTGCATAAAATAAGGTCATATGAGCGCCAGAAGATTAGAGGTGTTACAAGAGAGTAACAAACATAAAAAAGATGAAGGGGAGATAAGGACGACAGATGTTTGATAGGAAAGAAGAAGCAAACCACACCACAGCATCCGCCAACCACCCACACTCTATCACCAAACTGGCCCGTCTGGGACAAAACGTGCACAGAAAAACGTGTTTGCTACACAGAACGTTATTGATTATTTTGAAGACCTTCCTGAATTAGATACGGTAATGACAAGGATTACCCTGAGTGAGATGGAATGTGATTCTGGTGAAGATATAAATGTGACAGTAATATGCGTGAATTGCTCAATAGCTCATGGTAGCCTCAGGAGGTCAGGGCTCAAAGGGTTAACAAGGTTAGTTCATAAATTTAAGTTTGATTGGGCAAAGTGAAACTCACTAAAACACTGAAAAGTATAGCTACGGTTAAAATAGAAAAAAAAGACAGAAATTGAAGGTTACTGAGAAAGAGAGAGAGAGATAGAGAGAGAGAGAGAGAGAGAGAGAGAGAGAGAGAGAGAGAGAGAGAGAGAAAGAGAGAGAGAGAGAGAGAGACAAAGTGATGGAAGGACAGACAGATACGCACACACTGTAGGCTAGGACCTCAAGAAGGACCTCAGAATTGAAATGATAATGATGCTAGCCTGACAGCTGTAAGTTGGTAGTCAAATGTAATCAACCAACTAAAAATGGTTAATGTGTCCCAAGTGCTCAACATCTCCCGTGTTTACCGGCTACAGGGACAAGAATTAGACTTGTACAAACGCCCACCATGAATACATGTGTAGTTAATCTCGATGTATTTCAAAGCTTTATTGATCATTTTCTTGGGGCAACGCTGAAGTGCATTTTTAATTGTACGGGTATTTCATTTTATATAGTGTAACAGTAACAGCAGCCGATTTTGAATAAACATCAATTGCATTTTCAAGACTTCGAAAACTTGAAAATTTTTGTCCAACAGTGAATTGAGGAGAGGCTTCCTCTATCACTTTGGCATGAGTGTGTGTGTGCTTGATCTAGCTCGGTTTTGTGTGTGTGTGTGTGTGCGTGTGTTGTTGTTTTTTACACTGTTTGCTGTTCAAGGTGTGAAATGGGTTTCCCTTAGGGAGAAGTGGTACCTGCCTAACTCCATAGACATTTTTCCATTATGTACACAATCAGATATACAAAAACAGAAGTTGCGTAAAAAAAAAAAAGGGGGGGGGGGAGACTTCCCCTGCCGAAAAAAAAAAGGGGGGGGGGGGGGGGTTGCAGGGCGTCTCCCCCTGCTGAATTCATAAAATAATGGTTTGTGACTGTTTTCAGGGCCAAAATTGTTCTCAGCACATCCCTAATAAAACAGTAAGAAGTGCTGAAAACAGTCTCAAATGGGTTTGGACCGTTTCTATTTACCGGTGGTCTTTTCACCCTGGCAACTCGGTCAGTTTTTAAAAAACTCAATTTCTGTTTTTGGGACCGATTTTTAGTATAAATGTCTATGGAGTTAGGCTGGGACCACTTCTCCCGAAGAGTGCATGAAATGGCCTTCCCCCAGCCCATCATTAAATAAACGGTAAAGTAGTACTTTACCGGACCACCGGTCGGAACTACTTTCGCTATGGCATTCCTGGTGACTAGTGGCCCGCTATTCTTCCTTCCCGAGCTCCCATACTCCTCAATTTTCTACGTCTTCACCCTTCCACTGCCAACAACCGACTGATGTAGACTCTTACCGGCTTTTTCAGTCATCACGACCATGCCACCGTGCCCTTCGACTCACAACCCTGACACTGACACCTTGAGGCTAATTGGTCAATCTAATCACGTGGTCCACTATTCTATATTTGTTTGCGACTCTGCTAGGCTAGGCCTACTCCTGGTCCAGCAAAGTACAATGGAGGGCGAGAGATGCGGACGAGAGCACTTATCTGCATATTGCAACCCCCTCGGCCCTGCTCGCGACTTGGCGAGTGCTGCGAAGCAAGGCTCGGCCTGTTCCAACTCTAATTATCTAGATCTAGATCTACCCCGATTGTCTACTTATCTCCATGGTCCGTTCATGTTATTGTTTTTATAGCCTATATGTGTGTGTGTGTTTTTTAATTTTATTGTTGCCAGGGGGGCTAGCCCCCTGAAACACCCCACTGTTTTTACATTCATATAGATCTAAATTTAAATCTAGATCTAGATCTATATGATGTAAACACGATTGTCCGCTCATGTTATTGTTTTGCATTTGTGTGTTTTCTTTATTATTGTTTCCAGGTTGCCCCCCTGAACCCCCCCACCTACACACACACACACTGTTGGTATCTGAATCTGATATGATGATTATAACACGGTGGTCCACCAAAGTTAAATCCCCTACCCACCCTCAACCACCACCTCTTGTTCGCCTTGCCGCTGGCTTGCGCTGTGCGCGAAGTCGCCCGCGGAACTACCTTTGGTCAGCACGTAGACGTAGAGAACTATAGAGTGCGTAGTTTGGCGGCGTGCTTAATAATTTATAATCATGGGCCGAGCCGGGTGGTCCCGTGCCGTAAAGTACAATCCAGCCAAATAAACTTGGCTAAACCTGAAACATATCTCAACAACTTATAAGTTATTCTCTGTGCTGTTCTGTGTGTGTCTGTGCTCTAGGCCAAATGGAGCACACCTGATGAGGGGGAATTAAAACCACTTCCCAGCCAGTAATCCCAGTCAGTAAAGAAAGCATCACTTCACTTTCACAACCGCCTGTAGTGTTACTGTTAGTATTATCTGAATCTGAGGTCAGTAGAAAGTGAAAGTAAAATCCAGTATGCTCTCTATATCTATAAATTTTGCGAAAACCTTGGTAGAATAGAACAATAACATTGGTTTTACCTTCACGTGCTGTCGGTGTAGCCTCTCGAGCAGACCTAAAAAAGCCTAAAACTGAAAGTTCGTCGTGGGAAAACGGTAACTCTCCGCTCCGTCGTGATAAATTTAGTGAAATTCGCGGTAAGTGTGCCAGGTACCGATTGCCAAATAATATTTGTTAGAAGACCAATGTTGTAGCTAACTTGACATGGATGTTCGTTCAGGGGACTATGGTTTCGGCCACAGAATTCGGCTCACTTTCCTTTCATAACTTGTTTTTTTATGTTTTTCATAAAAATGCCCCCCCCCTTTCCCCTTTCCCCACCTTTTCTAAACCTTCCTCCTCTTCTCAACGTATATACCCCCCCCCCCCCCTTAAGAGCCCCAACAAGCAAAAATTAAAACGCGAGAACGACAAAACAGGGACTAGATCTAGGTGCGAAGAATAAAAATCAATGCACATCTGAAAGCATACAAATGTGTGTTCGCGTACACACATGTTTTGGCTATGTGTGTGTGTGTGTGTGTTGGGGGGGGGGTGCGTTCTTGTGTACGGTGAGTGCAAGAGAGAAAATCTTGAAATATAGAAAGAGGTGGAGAGAGAGAGAGAAAGGGAGAGATCAAGCGAGAGAGGGTTAGAACAAAAGAGACTAGATTGAACGACAGAGAGAGAGAGAGAGAGAGAGAGAGAGAGAGAGAGAGAGAGAGAGAGAGAGAGAGAGAGGGGGGGGGCGTGGTGTCTGCCTCTCGTACAAAAGGTGCAGAGTTCGTAATCTGACAGCGACGGAAAAAAATCTTCTTTATAATTGTCTGCCTGCACCTCCTTTCCTTCTAGTCCAACACAACTCGTTGCCCATTGGCCATTCTCCACTTCCTAGTACCGCGTACACTTGTAAGCTGGACTTTACGTACGGTACCATTTTTTTTTTTTTTTTTTAAATTTTTTTTTTTGGGGGGGGGGGGAAAAAGGGGGCCCTTTCCCCCATCCCCGCCCCCCCATATTTATATTTCTTTATATACTTATATATATAATTAAATAGTCATTTATTTATATATATATATTTATATATATATATATAGGCTAGTGTAGGTAAGAAGCAAGACAGGTAGACAAAACACCCCAGGGAAAAAAAATTTTGGGCCCGGGGGGGCCCCCCCCCCCCCCCCCCCCCCCCATGCACCACCAGCAAACTCAACTCTTGGACCTTAATTTTTTGTGAATAACAACTGCATCTCTTCTTTGGGATCATTCTATTACTTTTACATTACGTTGGACACTAAGTAATAACCGCGACGGAATTTTTTGATGTTCCTGATTAGTAGGCTACTAGGGAGCTTCGAAGATGATGTCCAAGTTCAGATGATTAAAAAAAACTTCGTCTGGAATCAGAAATGTAGCGAGGTTAGTGGTGGAAAGAAACTGATCCCGCCAGAAATCACAATGTTTGGTTTTAGCTTTAGTAATAGTTTTACTGAACTTGCAACACAAACTGATCGGGTAAGCGCTGAAGATTAGAAGAGTTACAAGAGTGTAACATACAACGAAATGATTGAAAGAGGAGTAGGGGGCTATCGAGGCCAACAGGTTCAGGTGTTCGCCTCTCATTCAATTCGAATTCGGACAGCGACGAAAAATTTTCTTCTCTAAAAATGTTTCCTTTCACATCCTTTCATGCTCTCTAACAATGTTTTATCGGTTGCTTTCGCCTCCGCTTTCTGCCCCCACCCCTTCACCTCCTTTGCCCCCTCCTCTGGGCTCTTGACTCTTTCTGCAGCCTTTCTGCCGCTACTCCTTGGCTCCTTCTTACTGCTGTTTTTCAGCCACACCCCTGATCTTATGGTAGGTATTCTCGGAAAATAGCGAAAAATCTCAGAGGTCCCGCGTGCAAGTTGCGCACGCTAAAAATCAATTGGCGGTCCAAAATCATTAAGAGTAGGCTTCGGCCACCACCTGGGCAAAATCCAAAATTTCCTATCAACTGAAAATGTTTAATGTGTCCAGAGCGCACATACGACCTTATGCAGTCGCGAGCGCGGTAAAAAAAACGTGAAAAAAGCACCCCCCCCCCCTAAAAAAAGCAGAGGAAAGATACAAACCATGAATTTTTTAATAGGAAAGAAGAAGCAAACCACACCAGAACACCCGCCATTAGGCGCTTCACTGTGGCATGCAGGAGACCCGAGTTCGATTCCCGATGAGCAGGATTTTTAGTAATACATCATGTATCTAGTCTTTCTGCAAGGATGGTGTATGACTCATAGTCCGGGTTGGCCCTGACAGCCAGGGTTGAAGCTCACTTCCTAAAATACCGTACTAAATGATATAAATTGTATCGATGTGTGTGTGTGTGTGTGTGTGTGTGTGTGTGTGTGTGTGTGTGTGTGTGTGTGTGTGTGTGTGTGCGTGTGAGTAGGGAGGGGGGATACTTTGTAATTTGTTTTTTTTAAAATAAGGAATCACAGATAATGTCTTCTGCATGCAATCTCTCCGCTTTATGGCACTTACAACACAGATAGGTCAAATAAGAACTAAAGATTAGAATGGGGATGGATGCATGAGGAAAGATGAGGACAAAAGATATTTGGTAGGAAAGGAGTAAACCATACTAAAACGCCCACCAGCCATCTCTTCTGTGTGCAATCGCCATTGTAAATTATGTTTAGTTTTAGTACAAGTTTTACGGCTCTTACAACACAAATAGGTCAAATAAGTGCTGAAGATTTGAGGTGTTACCGGAGAGTAACATACAAAGAAAAGCAGGAGGAAAGATATGATGATAGATGTTTAATAGGAAAGAAGGAGCAAACCATACCATCCAGAGAACTCACCATCAATCTCTCTCTCTCTCTCTCTCTCTCTCTCTGCTCAACCATTACACCACAGATTCAGGAACAAGAGTAAACCACCCATGGAAATCAAACAGAGTGATAACTGAGTTTACCATTACAGAGAAGCATGTCTGAACAAAACTATCATGAAATGAAAAGGGAGAGATGAGAAGAAGTGTGTGACTTTAATTTAGGTAAGAGTTTGATGGCATTTATGACACGACTAGATCTAGGTAAAATAAGCGCAGAAGATTAGAATTATTACTAGAGAGTAATAAGTCCAAACAGTCTTAACGGAATCTCCCCACTCCCCCTTGATATATTCTTCCCTGTATAAAACGAAACCTGTCCAACGCGGAAACGGAAAGAAAAAACCGCTCCCTTCCGAGGGTTTCACCTGTCTAAGACGAAAAATGCTTTGCCCGCTCAGCCCTGATTTGAAACAAAACACGCAAGTTTGGTTCCGCCGGCTCTGAACTTAACGCCATGGCCATGCTGCTGGGCGAGAAAGGGGAGTAGGGGTGCATTTTGGGGGTAGATGTTAGTGTTACCCCATCATGTGAACCCTGATCGATGCAGATGGTCAAGGTAGTGTGGGTGTGAAATCTCGCGACTGACCGCGAGAGCCACTAAGGAAACTTTCCTGTGTAGCCAGATGTCAGAGGTGTGAAATTTGTTTGACCAATATCTGCCGCCATGATAGTACGGCAAGCCGAGAAAAAGAGTTCCTCGAATCGTTGTACATGATGGCAGTAAGGGGTGGCATTGGTCGAATGTGCTTGTTACACCGGTGGGTGGGGCTAAGGATAGAAGCAAAGGAGATGTTCAAACGTTCCTGTTTTTAATAGGTCAAACAGTGGTCCTGAGAAAGGCAAGCACTGGTGGTAATTGGATAAGTAAGACTGACGTATGTCATTATCAGACAGAATAGCAATTGAGAGGTGTGAAGTTTTGACCACTGCTTGCCGATCGGACAAGCGATCCTTGATCCACCGGCTGGGCCTTTGACCTCCCCTCCTTTCCATCTCCCCCTAAATTCCCCTGTCTAAGACTGAAAATGTCTAGGACGGAATTTTTTTCTGGCTCCTTAGCGATTCCGTCTTTCACAGGTTCGACTGTACATGTAAAGAAAAGGCGGAGGAGAGATAAGGACAATGGATGTTTGATAGGAAAGAAGGGGCATACCACATCAAAGCACTCGCCACTCACCCATACACACATAGCATTCGAAAAAGCACAATATCAAAGGAAATGGAAACAAATATTATGCATCATCTTACTGATATATAAGTCCAAGACGACAAAGTGCTGTTTCATGAATGCAGATTTTAATTCTGGAAGTATGCGATTAACATAGATTCTTAGTTGCATCGCTACATTTGGTTTATTCAATGCAGTAGTAATATCACATAAGTTGACTGACAATGTAGAATTAGAATACATGAGAAATTTCAAAGTTCAGTATTATCATCTTACCAGACATGTGACTAGGCACAATTTCATGTGCAGATAAACTTTACATTTTTGGTCTCAGTGAGAAGTAATTATTTGAGTGATAGCACAACTTATCTTACCGTACTTACCAGAAAAACATAATATTTGAAACTTCACAAGTGAATGGAATATACAATTTTCTAGAAATGCTTTTCATGATATGTGGTGACAAATCCCGCATTTTCAGATCTAAATCCCTTCCATAGTACTCTCCACTATTGTCTACTCAAACTGTACATGGTACATTCACAGCTTGAGTTGAGGATGAGTTCTCTGGCAAATATTGACAAATACAGGGTTACATCATAGGGATTGCCATTAAATTCAAAACATACATGCCAATAGTTGCAATGACTTTTTGTTCATTTTAGGGAAACATTTCTCAAATGTCATGTGCCTGACTACTGTCTCACTGTTCAGCTCTTTTCCCATAATATATGTCCTTAAAATGGCGAGGAAGATGAAATAAACAGCAACTTTATGATCCTAAAGCGAAATTATTCTCACAGCAACTGACAGAGAAAATTAAGGATAAAAACAGGGGCAACCGAAACAATACATGGAGAAGCTATCAATGTACAAGTTTAGTTTTTTTTATCTTTTTACCTTAAACACACACACACACACACACACACATCTGTGTATCACCCCCCCTCCCCACTCGCTGAGAAAAAGAGAGCACAGAAAGGTTGATATTTCTTTTCAGGATGTCACTTTAGTTGGCCAAATGTCTGAAACAATAGGGTATGGTGAAAATTAATGAGTCTCTGGTTGTTCTCATAAAAATATGTACAAAGTTTGGTGATACACAGGGCGGAAGCAGTTACTTAGTACAATGTATTTGCTGTACCAAATTTGTCCTGAACTTTCTTAACAAAGTCATTTATTCTCTAAATACACATGTTTATCTCTTTTTTGGATCACATTTGAGTTCATATTGATCTTAAACAGCAATACAATAAAGAAATAACAATCACAGCTTTGGAAAACACATACGTAGACAATACACAACCTTTAGTTCACATTCAACGAAGACAATTTGCTATATATACTCCAAAGGATAATATGCTTCAATTATTTCCACTATAATATGACTCTCAGGGAAATAGACTCATTGTTGGAGGGTTTAGGTATGACTTTTAAAGCTTCTGAAGAACACAGACCATGGCTTTCCCCCCTCTGTCTTTTTCTTAGATGACAGGGGCTAGTCACACACATGAGTGCGAGTGTGTAGGGAAACGGGGGGGGGGCTTAAGAAAAGAGTTTGGTGAGAAAAGAGAACTGGGTGGATGAGTGAAGGTCAGTTCACACCAGGTGGTTTTAGACAGTGTCAGAAATTTAGAAAACAAAACTAAAAGAAAAAGATAAAGTGAAACTAAAAATCCCTTGCAAATGGAGCAAATCATACACACTGAGAATGAAAACTTAAAACAGCATTCTTTCTCACGGTCTTTAACTGGAAACAGTACTCACAGAGTTCTCTTTTTCACAAACAATGACTACGGATTTCAATTTTTTTTCTGCAGATCGGAGGCATGAGGTATTTTCTTCTCAGACAACCATGTAAATTGTTTTAGGAAACATACTGAACATAAAATAAAAACCATATGTTATTTTCAACTGAGAATTGTCATAGTAGAAATGAAACCAGAAATAAGAAATAAAAATCACATTAGCTCTGCTCCGGCAAGTAAACATGCAAAGCTTATTTTGATACCAATAATACTTTTAAAACATGTTTGTAAATGTATTTCATTATGCACGATGAACACAAATTCAGTTAACAAAGATATTGTTAGTGTTTCTAGTACAATGAAAGGATCTCTAGATCTAAGTATGGTTGGTGTGAATAGACTTGATATTGTTAATGTTATTTCCTTAGTTTCCACATGATTGTTAATATACAACCAAGGAAGAAAAGTGGGAAGAATGTTTAATGATCTAGAATCGATGAAGGATATAAACATTTTTCACACATCTCATTTTTAAAACCACACAGTCACAGTCTTTTACATTTTATCATTTGTCCAAGCCCCAGCATGTAAATTATGACTATAGCAACAAATAAAAGAAAGCTGGAGCGCTAATCACAAGAGACAACCAAAAAAGGATCAACAATAAGAAACTCAAGATTTTGTCTCATACAGCCTTTCCATTTTTACTTGTTAGAAAATTATTGATACATTCCGCTCTCACAACTTTCACTCATGCTTCTAGAAAACATCACCTCAAATTACTCAAAAGCACCTGGTGACACAGCAATAACACTACAGCCCCTCACATTGATTCGACCAGTCAACAAGATGAAGGAAGTGCCACCAACATTAACTGTCTTTGGACTGGCCACTGTGGTCTACCATAAAAAACTGATTTCCGCCTGCTCTGAACTATGCGCTAGCGACGTTCAGTAAGATCAGACTCCAGAACTGTACCTCACCCTTGGATGCAGTCTTTGTACGGAGCAGAGGGAGGAAAATGACCAACCAAGAAAACAAAAAAAAAAAGCCTGCTGCATCTGATTGAAAAAAAAAGTTCTGAAAGGCTAGATAAATGTCGAGGTAAAAGAACTTTTCCAACTGTAAATGCCTAGTTTCCTCAAGCATATTAGTTGATCATTAAGATGAAAAACTGGAGCCTGAAAGTGCATTATAGTGAATGGCCTAAGAAAAAATCTAGAAACTACAATGAGAGACCCAGCAAGAAAGAATTTAGAGGAAAACAAGTCCAAACATGTCCACAGCGCAAGTGCTTCAATCAACAGTGGTAGTAGTAAAATTAAAAAGTTGAAAATGACAAAAAGATGACAGAAAATGGACTCCTGTGCTACACTGAAGGACAGAATATGTAACCTCTTAGAGGGGATTTCTCAGTTTGTACTAGAGCTTGTTGTAGCTATCTGAATGTACTTCTGAGCAGATGGAGGAGGAGAAGATTCAGGGAAGCAAGATATTTTTTAAAAAAATAATCATTTTCAAGCTATCAAGGAGAAGGCAGTTGTTGTGATGGAAGTTTACAGCAAGTCTCCGGGAGACAGTTGCATTTAATTTCAGAGCTGACAATACTTAATACTTTTTCAACTGGTCAAGCAGACAAGAATGTCCCCGTTACATACGACCAGAAGCAGTTTCTGGCAACTTGTAGGATGGCCATCGACACATCGGACAAAAATGTTTCTCTCTGTTCAGCCAGGAGAAGATACACGTTTCGTGGAATACATGCCCGCACGGCAGCCCACACAGAACTGTGAGAGGAACATACTCCTCCAGACAGATCACACACTGATGACTTTCCACATAGCCAGGGGGGAATCCACTCGGACGAATCACTAGACCCCTCGCAGCGGTGGAGCTGGAAGGGAAACCATTAGATTGAATAAGAGTATTTAAATTGGTGGAGCTAGACGCGTTAGAAGAAAGAGTGCTGCAGGGGGTGGTGGAGGAAATGGTGCTTACACTGACTCCGCTATTGTTGCTTGTTGCTGGCCTTTCCGAAAGCTGGGCTGACTGTCCTTGGTGAGATGTTCCTAGACTTTCACTGGTCTGACCAACTGGGACTGATTGAGACTCGTTTTTGGTTGGCTGAGTAGGAGAGCAGCATGGTCCTGTACTTAAGTTTTCCTGCATCGAAGCGTAAGGGGGTTTCTGACTCTGACTTTGAGAGGTGACTGAGGATGAATATGCCGCAATAGCAGGGGTGTGGTGGGAACAGCAAGGATGGCATTTACAGTGAGGTTGAGATAGTGGGTCAGCACCTGAGCCTGTTGCTTCAGTTGGATTTGGGGACGACACACTTGCTTGAACCTGGCAATTTCCTGATACTGCAAAGTTCTTTGAAGACTGAAAACAACTGGCGCAGACACAACATATTTCTGGGTTGGAAGTAGAAGATGGTGCAGGGACACTCAAAGTATCCTGGTGAGACAGTTTACAATGGTGAACAGTTTCAGTGTTGTGGGTCGAACTTGCCACACAACATGTGTTTGAGCTAGACGTTTTGCAAATGGTAGTCAGCGTTGAATGCATGCGGGCTGCATTTTCAGCAGCCAGCTTGGCAATGGGCACTGGTGTATAGCGCCAGGTTGGGAGGTACTGTATGTACTCTGATGAAATGGTTGGTTGTAACCACAAAGATGGTTGGGACAGACGTGAGCCAAAAACTTCCAAGCCTCCAATCAAGTCATAGCCGCTGATCCGCATTGGTTCTATGAAGTCATTTGGTCTCAGGTGAGCTAATGTTGCCATGTGGCTAAAGTTGAACCAATCTTCTGCCTCATCTTCATTTTCTCTGTACCTTTTACAAAGAAGAGTTACTGCTACAAGGTAAAGTATAAAAGTGACATAAATGTACAGTGGCCTGTCAAAGTAAAATGCACAGTCACCCCGGAATATTGTGCCTAAATATGACGTACTAAACATTCGTTCCAATTTCAGAAATGACAGAGGCACTCGGTCTAGATACGGCATTTGAAATATACCTATTATTGGTAACCAAAGCATTATGACAATGATATTGTACTTAAAAGTGCACCAGATTAATTTCCTGAATCTTTTCAAAATTCCACAATTAGAAATAAGAGGCTCAAACCAGGACATAATATTTGCAACACAAAAACTTATTATAAACACATCATTAAGGCAAGGGTGGAGAAATTTCAGGAACCTTTCCATACTGGTAAAGGAGAAATGTTCCCCGCCCTTGTGACCATACACATACTTTCCTTCAGCAGAGTAAACAACGTAAGCAGGGAGTCTCCATATCTTTTCTTTTTGCAACACATGGTTCCACAAAGCTAACTTCATTACTGGAGAGTTCAGGTTGACAATGCCAAATTTAACCCGACCAGGAAATTTGACACTGAGAGCAGAGTAGAAAAGAGGAGGACGAGAAGCCTTTGTGAAGAGGACAGCATGAATTTCTGGGTCAAGCGGATCTTTGGTGAAGTTCTGCCATTTGTAATGAAAGGTGACAGGATCAGTAATGTGCTCCAAACGCTCCGCAAGGCGATCCCTAAGCCAATGCATAACAACAGCTTCCCGGACCGGTCCAGAATAGTTGTGCATGGCTATGCTGGCCTTTTTCTCAAACTGGCTTGGCAGAGCAAGCAGAAGGAAAGGGGAACGCCAGCCTTTTTGGTCACAATACCTGAGCAAGAAGAGAAATAACAGGTAGATAAAATGATGACAGGAAAGATTATTTAATGCTACAAACAAATGATGGTGATAATAAAATCGAGAAGAACTTCAGAGTGTCAATATTCAATAATAGGTACACAACGAAATTATAAATAGCTATTTGGTGCTGGTTTAACTGATGGTCTACCACGATATGATGGACTACCGTAAGTACCGCTCGATTGAAATGGTCTACCTGCCCTGTAGGGACGTAGTAATGACAGTGTGCTGGGGGCATTAGCATCAAAGGCAGTGCTATTTATAGCTGCAGTATGTGGGTAAGTGGATTGCTTCATTTTGAGCTGGTAAAGATGATTGGCAAGTGAACAGCAACAGCAAAAGACCAGGCGGGAGGATGTGAATGCCCAGGCATTGGATATGTTAGATTTTGAAAAATTTAGAGGTGGTAAACATTAGGATTGATAAATCACCAAGCGTGTACAAACTCAGAAGAAAAATGTAAACTGATACTTGTCAGAACTCCCAAACCTGTATATATTGGTAGACCAACTAAACCAGCCCGGCGGTAGACCACCAAATAGACCAGAAACATTGTGCTAGACTGTCAGCTAAACCAGTAAACCAGTACCGGGCTTTCTATTCCCCTGACTGCAACTCTCGACAATACAGATGACTGTTTACCCCAAGTTTGAATACAGCACTTCAAGAAAGGGTAAAGGTCACAAGTCAGGAAAAGGATCAAAATGGTACTAGAATAGCATCACAGTAAAGATGATAATAAACCATCTAGATTTTTCTCTTTGTCACCAGCTCTTACTTAATTATACAAGATGAAACGGAAAGTAGCCATGAACTTCGGAGAAATAACCCATATAGTAGAAGTTTAACGGATTACCCATCATAGTACATAATGAATCCAGTTTCTTTTCAAAAATTCTTAAAAAATAGAGATGATCAAGAAACCTGACAGAAAAACAAGGCTGCAAGAAATTCTTCACTTCCAAATAGTGCATTTTTTTGACAATGGGTGATGAAATCCACCACAAACTAAAACTGATAACGCTTACCGTATATCAAGCGAACAGTCTAAAAGACCAGTGTGAACACCAAACTTCGAAACTTTTCGCCTGACAGCCTTCCATCTTGCATCTCCAACAATGCGCAGCTGGTCTTGATGTAACACAACTTGAACCAGCCACACGCTGTCTTTGGCATCCTCCACCTTGTAGAAATTACGATGAAAATAAAATTCTCACGGGCAACACTTTAAAAAATGAAAGCAAAGAGATCTTGTCATGAGTATAGTAAAACTCTATTGCAGCAAAATCGATGGGGATTACAAAATAAACTGTCATCACAAATGACATAAGATTGAAACAAGTCAGACTTGGAGAATTAATAATAATGCAAATAATTTCAATCCACCTATTCTCACACAATACAGCTCTACGTGCTTTACAATATCTTCATCTTGACACAAAATACAAGTGAATGAACGAGCGTACAGACGCTCTTTAAAATAACACTTACACATTATCAGAAATTCATACTTTCACAGTAAAATTAATGATGATATGCATATTACACCATGAATACAAGAGTACTATGAATTAAGCATTTAAACTGATATAAAACTGCATTACATACACTCATAGGTAGATCTACAATATAAATTAACCTCTACTAGTTTTAGTAGCCTATATTCTCTTGTACCAATAAAGAGCAATATCTGAGATAACATGAAAATGGGGTAAATAAACGTAAAGAGAATCTCGAGCTTACCTAAAAAATAGGTACTCTCTCTCTCTCTCTCTCTCTCACTTTATACTATTACGAATACTAAAACTAAAAGTAATAAATCAAGAGCAGACACCGGGGAAAATGGAGGACAACAATAATAATAATATAATCTTGACTTGTAACACTCTCGAGCATTTATTTTCTTTTCCTACAAATCCTAAGAAAAAATAAGAACAGACAAGTACTACAAACCTGCTCAATAAAGTGAGCCCCAGAGGTGAAGTTCGTCTGGACAACAGTTTTCTCTTCGGCAGTTGCAAGTTCAACCTCAGCACTTGTTAGCTGACCTGTTAAAAAATTATTTTCAATGTATGTGCCCATTCAACTATATCTGTTCAACTATATAAAGCCATGGTTTTACGCAAAAAAAATTCTGAAATTATGCAAACTGAGCCCAAAAATGTGAAATTATGCGATTCTGTAAATTTTAACAAAGAATGATAAAGGAAAATAATCAGAAATTATGAAAAAAAATGATCAAATTTTGCTAAATTATGCGGGGTGCATAAAACCACGAGGACAGCTATACGCACCATATAAATTAAAAATTATAGCTTTTGCCTCGTCCATGAAGGAAAATCTGGCTCACCCCTACTCAAATCGATGAATCCAATTGGCAGTGTATGGTATTAAGCTTGCATGAAATAACATAAAATAGTAATGATAATAATTAATAATATTTACATAGCACCTTATCCCAAGACAGAGTTGTAAGTGCTGCAAAATGCTAAACTATCACTCGTAAATGACAAATCAAAGGACAGAAAATGCACATGGCGAGACCATTTAACAACACACACGCAAAACTCCCAGCCCCACAGATATTCTCAAATGACACAAAATTCACTACCAGAGGATGGTGTTGAACAAATGTGCTTTTACACTTTGTTAAAAAAAACTCTCTCTCTCTCTCTCTGATGATACAATAAAAAACATTTGTTTTGGAAGAGAGTTTCAAATTTTAGAGGGCATACGAAGAACACTCCCCCCCCCCCACCCCAGCATTTGCGCTATAGCAGTTAGGCACTTCACTATCACATGCAGGAGACCCAAGGTTGATTCCTGAGTGGGGAGAAATTTTAATGAGTATCTTGGTATTTCTGCTGATATTTAGTACCCCTCTTAGCCTGGGTTGGCCCTGACGCGCAGTGTTGAAAACCTACTTCCTGAATCTAAACTGTGTTGATGAAACAATTATAAAACGCCTACATTAAAAAATAAATAATCAACCTTACAGCAGGTGAGATTCTAATCTGCAGATCTCTTTAAATAAATGTCTGCCTAATCTGTTTGGCTCAGTAAAATCTTTTGGAATTTGTGGTGCTTCGTTGTTCATACATTTGTGACAAAAAAGAATAATTTTGTCAACAATCTTGTAGCCAATGTAGCTTTATTAATAAAGGTGTAATGTGTTCTTCTTGGGATTTTCTAAAAATCGACTGCCAGCTCTATTTTGAAACCGCTGCAGTCTGTTTTTGTTTTTTTTTAAAAAGAAAATAGTCGAAAAGTCTCAGACAGGCAGTATAAAATTAATAAATAAAGTAGCATCTAGAAAGGAACCCAGTCATAACACTTAAAAATGAGTAACTGAAAGTCAGTGTCAGTTAGAGTTTGTAATAAGTCAGACTAGTGCACCATTGTAGCACACTGACGATTTGGCAATAATATTCACTCTACATCATTATAATATAAATGCAGCTTCCCTTGCCAAAGCCAAGTGCAGAGCAAAAAACAGTTTCCATTTAATCTGATTGGAGCCTATCTTTGCTCATCTGTTACATTACAAATCTAAAGTAAAAAGTTTTAACAACGACCCCAGCTGTCATGACTTTTCACAGAAGAAAATGAGTTTTTAAAAATCACATTTTAAACTAACAAAAAATACCCCAACAATTGTGAAGAAAAAAAGGATCTGAAAAACAAACTTGATCAAAGAACAATGAAGGTGTAAAAAGTGAACTAACAATATAAGAATTAGTAGAAAAGTATAACATTCTTTACCAGAAGATTCCACCAAGCTGGTCAGCTCCGACTTCTCCACCACATGCTCATAGCTGACGCCTCTCTGCTCTAACAAGGCTTTCAGCTTTGCCACAGACAGAGCCATGGGGTCCAGCAACTGCCGAGACAAGACTCCTCCGTAGCCTACTTCACACCATGACAGAGCCTCCAGCACCCGGGACAAAACGAAGAGCAGGAGGATGTAGGCCATCAGCAAGAACACTTTGAGCCACATTTTGAGGTTGCTCCACAGCCAGGCTGTGCCTCTACAATAAGTTTAGTTACTAGTAGAGTCACAATGAGCCCTGCATTGAGGCACAATGCTACTCTGTGTTGGACATGCCGGAGCAAACTGGCTGTGGAAAATAAAGCATTTCTGATAACATATCACTGGACACCATTCATTAAGCGCATTTCTAATAATGCATTATTGAACTTTCATGCATCAGTAGGCAATTTTCTCCCCAAGCCAACAAGTTATGTACCAGAAAAGCAAGTGCAAGGGAATAATAATATTCTCCTGAGACCCTTAAGAAAGCATATATCTGATCTTCTCTCTTCAACAAAGGCACATTAGGGTTGTCAAGTACTCAACATTGAAACAAACTTAGATTTAATTATTTGAAAAAAATAATTTTTGTTAGCTCTCCCACTCCCGCACAATTATTGTTTTTACTCTGACACTACTAAGTGGCAGCAGTGGACATGATGGAAATAGTCACAAAAGTACCAGGGTTCTGGCAATTTTTCTAGTTTGAAACACTTAATTCATGCTTGATGGATTCAGGTAAGAAGGGTTACATGGATTAGGTGTTCATGAAGGAGGGCTACATTACTGTGCATAGTATCCAAGGGCCCTATAGATGTGTCTCTAGTCGCTTTGTTCTTGTATGTTCATGGTCTGGTGTTGTATTTTGATTCTACACAACATATCTTACGATCTATTCTCAATTACAGTTGTGGACTTTCCAAAAAATTTAAGTGAAAACATATCACAGCACATTTCATTGGTGAGTTTTTTTAACCCTATCCGTACGTTACTGTCATGTTTTACTATCGTATCCATACGACGTGGGGAACTCTGTGCCACCACTTTCCAAAGAGGAAATTAACTCTTAAATCCGAGTCGTACGCTTCGCACAGTGGTCTGTCAAAATGATTTTTGGAGAAATACTGAAAGTTTCAAAGAGATCTTCCTACTAGAAGTATTTTAAAATGTGAATAATACAACCCCTGGGGTACAAAATGACCCCAGAGCAAACGGATAGGGTTAAATAGAAAAAACAGTTGAAACAAAAGTGCTTTGATAAAGTTGAAACAACTATTATAAAGATAAGTAATTGAAAACATTATTTTTACTTCATTTTGTCTCTCTACCGGATTTATTTTAAAAATTTTTTATCATCATATAAAGTAGAGATAAATAATCTGAGTAAGAGCAGACCTTGCCCGATTATAGCAGTACACACCAACTAAAAAAAGAAAAAATAGCACATATAATGTTTAGAATGGACCTCTTTCTCAGGCAGAAAATAAATAAAGAGCTAAAACTAGAGCGAAAAATCAATTTTTCATTGGCATTGCAATGCTACAAAAAATAAATGTTATATGCCTCTATTTTCCAGGAAAATCCCTGCTACATGTAGCCCAGTAAAATCTGTTGCAAAGGACTGGTGTTCTAGCATAGGGGGCGTATACCCCATTGGTATTAGCAGCCAAAGCATTGGGGCTCAAGGACCCATAACCGGAACACGCAAGAGGATTTTAGTGAACCACTTAAAGTGGTTCTCTCTGTTCTCCATGGTAACAGTGTGCAATATGGTGCATGTCATGTGTAACAGATGAAGATCTCGGCATTCTTCGTGGCTGTGGTTTCGAAGTTGGTGGCAGCACGCCAATTGTAAGCAACCAGGGCGTATGGCAATAGATCGTCATTATATTGGCCTGGTTGCTACAGCATGTGGAAACCACCGAGTACGGTGTTCTTGGTCCTCAAACCCTAGTCAGCTGGGATTGTGAGGCTCTGGTGGTAAGGCAGTTTGCCATGCAATAGCAAGAACCATGAAAATTTTTTTTTGCTTTAAAGCCAACAAAACAATGTGCATATGATAGCCTTATCTCTGCTAAGTAACACAGTTTTTGAATTTTGACAATTCGTTCATAAATAAAAAAAT